TGTGAATGGGCAATGGTGACAGGCAACAGGGGGCCTGGGGCCAACGGGGAAATGGCAGAGGGAGAGCAGAGAGCAGGGCCAGAGGCGAGGGCCGGGCCTGGGGCACGGGACTGGGCCAGCTTCTGGGGACCACAGTGTTGCACAGGTGAAGCTCAGGGCCCCAGAAGCCACCTCTCTCTAGTTTATGAGAAGGTGGCGTTGTCTCCCATACTGGAGCAGCAGCTCCTAGAGGGCATTCGGGGGCCAGGTCAGCTCTCTGACACACAGTAGGTGCTCCACGCCCTCATGGAGTGGTCGGAGCGGTCGGAGTGGTCGCGAGTCAGCTGACCCCGACTCAGCTCCTGCCCGGCCACGAGGTGCTACGCTGGGCAGGTTCTTCTTCTCTCTGAGATTAGTTTCCGGGGTAGAAGGGTCTCACAGGGCTGTTGGGTTCAACAACTAATGTTGTTACTTCTACAACACGTGTGCACGGCCCTGGCCCCATTTTCTGGACGCCTGTAAGCCATGCATGACATCATAGGCAAAAAAATTCCCCACTGTCTCTGCCAGAGAAGGCCAGCCACAGCGGCCTGGGGCATCTGCGGTGGATGCTGGGGGATGGCGTTGAGCTGTGCCCCCACCTGGACTCGGCCTCTGCCCCTTTCCCCGCACGTTCCACTCGGGGAGCGAGGCCCCCAGGTCCTCTACTTCTCCCAGGTATCCTGGCTGAGGTCCCAACGCCCCCTGGTGGCAGCCGTGGATTTACAAGGTTTACTGTGAAAATTCTTTCTTGAGCACCGATTACTGACAGGTGTGGTTTTGGACAGTTGCTTTATTTTTCTCTCTCCCTTCATGTATACATAAAGAATACAGAATCAAATATAAAGTCCATATTCAAATGTTACCAGCTATGTCAACATTCTCCTTTACAGCCCCACTCAGATTCGGAATCCAATCCAGACATTGCATTCAGCCACTATGTCTCATGAGTCTCCCTCTTCTGGAACATTCCACAGCTCTTCTTTCTCTTTCATGCAAAGAGTCCAGACCAGTTGTTTTGTAGAAAGTCCCTCAGTTTGGGTTTATTCAACGTGTCCTCATGATTTGATTCAGATTATGGACTTTCAGTAGAAAGGCCACAGATGTGATATGGTGTCCTTCCCAGCACAATAGGTTATTTCTATTTTATAGATGGGCAGCCTGTGGCCCAGAGAGGGGAAGAGAACTGGGACACAGTGAAGCTCAAATATCCTCTCGGCACTTAGTCGCTGGTGACCTCGGGTGGGTGACTAAACCTCTCTGAGCTGCAGTTCCCTCATCTGTAATATGGGGTAGTGATCTGGCCCCAGAGGGCTGGCAGTGACATAAAGGAGGAGATGTGTGACCGGGGTGGGGGGGTGATACGCAATACCATGGCTTCCCTATTCTTCTCTGCAACCCCCACCCTCTCCCACTGAATCAGGATGTGGTGGCAGGAAGTGAAGTGTAAGAATTCAGGCTCCCCTCAGCAGCCCCCCGCCCCCCAAGACCCTGGAGAGAGAGCAGGGCCTGGACCTACAGCCCCCTCAGAGTCCATAATTATCAATGAGGTGAGTGGGCAGTCAGAAGGGGAAAGCCCAGGGTAGGGACCCAGAATTTTCCACACGCTCTGTAGGCCTGAACCTTCGCACCCCCACCCCGCTCCACCTGTAGGCAGGGTGTGGGTGGGTGAAGAGAGTGTCCTCAAGGCCGGGGGCTCTCACAAGTGCCACGGGACTGGTGGTGCAAATGTCAAGGTATGTTTATGTCTCATTTATATGGTGACATTTCAGACGTGCAAAAAAGGGAAAAAAAAGAATGTAATCAAGACTCCATATATCCACCTCCCAGCCACACTGGCCTCCTTCTGCTCTCTGACCCTAACGGAAGTATTCATTCGTTAGTACTCACTGTTCCCTTGGCTAGACAGGAGAGGAGAGAAGCCCCTTAGACCAGCCAGGCCTCTCCCCTGTGGGGAAGGGGTGGGGAGATGGCTTCTGTTTTCTCGCCAAACCAAGAAAGCCTACTCATCTCATTCACCCCACGAGTGGCCACCTGGGCTCTGCCAGGCACCCCCTGGGAGGCTGCAGATATAAAGGTGAGACATAGCTCCCTCCTTCCCTCTCCCCTCTCCCTCCTGTCTCCCTTCCTGGAGCCTAGAAACCTGCTTCATGTTCTTTTTCCTTTTTTAGATTTTATTTATTTGAGGGAGAGAGAGCATGAGCAGGGGGGAGGGGGAGAGGGAGAGGGAGAAGCAGACCCCCTGCTGAGCGGGGAGCCCGCTGCGGGACTCCATCCCAGGACCCCGGGATCATGACCTGGGCCAAAGGTAGACGCTTAACCCACTGAGCCACCCAGGCGCCCCTACTCACCTTTCATTCTACCAGAAGGACAAAGTTCCTCCCCTAGGATGTGAGCAGATTTTCCTCTCTTAAGCTTCTGACAAAGGGACTTAACTTTCAAAGAGCCCTGGAAACATATGGGGGAACTTGTTAAAAATGTGTATTCCTGAAAAAAAAAAGTGAGTGTTGACCCCTACTTTACACCATGCACCGAAATGAAACCTGACTGTGGAAGGTTAAGGGATATCATCTAGCAGATAATGTGGGAGAGCATCTGAATGACATCGGGCCAGCAAATATTTCTTACAAAGGACATTGACATTGAAAGAAAAGATGAATAAATTGTCCCTCATTAAAACTAAGAACTTCTGTTCATCAAAAGTCTCCCTGGGCGCCTGGGTGGCTCAGTCGGTTAAGTGTCTGCCTTGCGCTTGGGTCATGATCCCGGGGTCTTGGGATCGAGTCCCATATTGGGCTCCCTGCTTAGCGGGGTGTCTGCTTCTTTCTCTCCCTCTGCCCCTCCCCCTTGCTCGTGCTCTCTCTCTCTCTTCTCTCTCGCTTGCTCTCTCTCTCTCAAATAAATAAATAAATAATCTTTGAAAAATAAATTTAAAAAAAAGTTCCTTTAAGAGGGCGCCTGGGGTGGCTTAGTTGGTTGAGCATCTGACTCTTGGTTTTGGTTCAGGTCATGATCTCAGGGTCTTGGGATCAAGCCCCGCATCAGGTTTTATGCTGTGTGGAGTCTGCTTGGGAGTCTCTCCTTCTCCCTCTCCCTCTGCCTCTCCCCCCACTTGCATGCTCTTTTCTCTCACTCTCTAAAATAAAATAAATAAAATCTTTAAAAAGAAAAGGCTCCCTTAAGAAAGTGAAAAGGCAAGCCATAGAAGGGGAGAAGATACTTGCAGTGCATTTATTCACCAAAGGGTTTGTATCCAGAATATATAAAGAGTTCCCACACATCAATAAGAAAAGTCAGACAATCCAATTTTTTTTATTTTTTTATTTTTTTAATTTTTTAAAAATGTTTTTCATAAACCTTATTGTTTTTTTTTTTTAAGATTTTATTTATTTATTCATGAGAGAGAGAGACAGAGGCAGAGGGAGAAGCAGGCTCCCAAGGAGCAGGGAGCCCGATGCGGGACTTGATCCCAGGACTCCGGGACCACGACCCGAGCCGAAGGCAGACGCCCAACCATCTGAGCCACCCAGGCGCCCAATCCAATTTTTTTTTAAAGATTTTATTTATTTATTCATGAGAGACAGAGGGAGAGAGAGGGAGAGAGAGAGAGAGAAGCAGAGGGAGAAGCAGGCTCCCAAGGAGCAGGGAGCCCGATGTGGGACTCGATCCCAGGACCCTGGGATCATGACCTGAGCTGAAGGCAGACGCTTAACCATCTGAGCCACCCAGGCGCCGGTCAGACAATCCAATTTTTAAAAAAATAGACAAAAGACCTGAATGAGCATCTTATACAATATCCAAATGGCTAATAAACATGTGAAAAGATACCCAACATCATTACTCCCCAGAGAAATGCAAAATAAAGGATACAATGAAATACCACTGCACACGCAGCACCATGGCTAAAATTTTTAAAACTGACACTACCAAATGCTGACAAGGATGGGGAGCAATTGGAACACTTATACACTGCAGTGAAGGGTCAGTACAATTTAGAAAACAATGGAGATTCTATCAAAGCTGAGCAGGCACATACTTTATGACCCAGCAGTTCCACCCCTGGGTGGAGTCCAGTAGAAATGTGTATATTTATGCACCGAAATATATGTATAGGGCTGTTCCTAGTGGCATTATTCATAATGATCAGAAATGGAAACAGCCCTAAGGTCCATCAAGAGTAGAATAGATAAATCAATTGTGCATATTCATGTGATGCAGCACTACACAGCAATGAACTTGAATGAATGGTTGCCATTTGCAACAATGTGGGTGATTCTCGCAATATAATGTTGAATTAAAGAAGACAGTTGCAAGAGAACAGAGATGGTTCTACCTATGTAAAGCCCAAAAGCTGACAAGACAATTCTATGGTGGAGAAGTCGGGTTAGCGGGTGCCTTTTATATGTAGTGCGTGGGAAGGGGTCAAGGGGGGGGGGTTGCTGGGTGCTGGCCGGGAGACATGTTCCCACTGGAAAAATTCAGTGGGTATGCACTTGAGATGTGTGCGCTTTTCTGTAGAGCATGTTAGACCGCAACAAACAAATTTACTAGAAATTTGTATTGCTGGGTCCATGCCAGAGGCCAGGTAGGAGGCAACTGAATTAATTAACTCAGGGGAGAGAGGATGGGGAGTGGGCGCAGGTGGAGGAGGTGAGGGGGAAGGACATTGGTCCAAAGAGGTCAAGAAAGTTTGCTGATGGGTTGGATGTGAGTGTGAGGGGAGAGAGTCAGGGCAGGGCGCAGGTTTTGGGCTGAGTTATGGAAGGCTGGAGTTGCCATCAGCCCCCTCCCCTGCCAGGTGGAGCGGGTTTGAGGCAGGTGTGAAATCAGGTGTTTCTATCCTGATTCTCTTCTAAAACTTGAGGCTCTGTCTCAAGCCTGATGCTGACAGTGAGTGGAGACCAGGCCTCCTGGGACCCAAGGGGTAGGAGGGATGCGTGTGTGGGATCAGCCTGGTCTCACCCATTTATCCCGCCCTTCAGGATGGAGTTCCGAGGGACACCTGCAAGGAAGGCCCCAACCACTCCTACAACGAGATTGCTGGGAGGTGCTGTTACCGCTGCCCCGTGGGTGAGTGGGGGTGCTGGGGAGGGACAAGGGGGTATTTTTGTCCTCAAGTTATAAAACTCCGGGGTGACTGGTGAGTGGGCAAGATGGAAGCCCACACTGTCATCGTCATGTTGGCTATAGATTTCCGAAGGTTTTGGTTTTAGTTACCCCATAAGGGTTGGCCCCTTATGAACACTTACCATACATACACTGGTCTGAGACCTTCCGATGCATTGCGTGAGCTCATCAGCATCCTTTATTAATCCTATTTTGTAGATGAGGCTGTCGGGGGTGCTGTAAGGTTAGGTAACTGGCCCAAGGTCACAGGGCTGGGAAATGGTGGAGCTGGCCGGGTCTGGAGTCCAGGGTCCTGTGATCCCACAGCCTGGGCCCTCGACACCCCCTGACTGCCCCTCATTTCTGAGTCTGGAAGCCCTTTGCAGTCCTCATCTTTTCCAGCCCAGAACATGCATTGATCTCTGGGCCACCTGAACTATAGATCTCTCTGGAACCAGGCTCCCTGCTCGGAGCCCATTCCTGGAAGGCTCACCCAGCCCCAGCACCATGATTGGCTCTGAGTAGATTATCAGCCTGCCCATCCTCACTTGGCCGGTGCTGCTCAGGCCCGAAGAAGGGGGTGGTGAGGCAGCATCATAATCATGGTTGTTATCAAAATTCTCAAGGCACATCCAGGGCCCTTCGCTGGGTGGGGCGTGAGACAGAGCTGGACTGTGGTCTCTGACCTCTGGCGCAGGGACTCGAGTGGGAAAGATGCTAATTCTGGCTGCGGAGGGTGTGAGGACTACCTCGTGCTTGGAGGCCACTGGAAGTGGGGGGTGACCTTCAGGATAGGTAGGGGGCCCACCTACCCATCCTCTCAGCCGCCAGCATTGCTCTCTGGAGGGCGGTGCCAGGACATGATGCGCAAAGTCACCAAGGGTAAGTGGCCGGAGCTGGCCGGGAGCCCCGGGCTGTCCCTAGACCTGCAGCCTTTCTGCTCTACCGTGAGGCAGACCGAGCCCAAGCTCAGGCCCCCAAGGACCCAGAACAACATTTTGGGGAAGAATTTGATATTTTCTATTTCCAAAAATGATTCAAAGTTGTCATGGTAGGGAAAAAAGTAGAACTTTATTGGATTTTCTCGCCTTTATTTTATGGTTTAGTGTGGGTTTTGAAGTACCAATCAGGTGGGTGTCTGTGCTTCCTTCAGTGCCTGGGACTCCAGTGTCTGACTGCCCAGCCCCCCACCCACTCCCCATATGCCTGCCCGCTCTCTTACCTGCCCACCCCCCCATCTCCTTCACCCCCTCCCCATTCCTTCTGCCACCCATCCCCCACCCATCCCCCCATCTATCTCAGGCTGCTGGGGGCGGGCTGCCGTAGCAAAACAGCACAGATGGGGAGCGGGGGTGCGGTGCGGGGGTTGGGGACACATCCACCACTGACATTTGTTTCCAAACCATTCTGGAGGCTAGAAAGTCCAAGATCAAGTTTCCAGCGGCGTTTGGTTTCTGGTGAGAAGTCTCCTCTTCTTGGCTTGCAGACAGCCCCTCGTCATGGCTGAAGGAGAGAGAGGGGTGGGGGAGAAGGAGAAAGAGAGAGAGAGAGAGAGAGAGCGTGCGTGCGAGAAAAGAGAGATATTTTTCTTTTTCTCTTCTAAGGGCCACCAGTCCTATCAGATCAGGGCTCCACCCTCATGACCTCATTTATCCTTAATTACCTCCTAAAGACCCTATCTCCAAATAAAGCCACACTGGGGGTTAGGGCTTCAGCTTATGGATTTGAGAGGGACGCAGTTAGGCCACAGCACCATCCCCCTCCCACCTGGCCCCATCCATCCACCCACTCCTCCCACGCCCCTATCCTCTGCTCTTCTGCCCATCCGTCCAACAACTGTTTACCGCTCCATCTTATCATGAAGTCACTCGTCACCTTTCCCAGCCTTTTCCCCTTGGCCTTTCTTCCGTGCTTTCAAGTCTCTGGGCCTTTGACATGCCTGTCTGCCCTGGGATGCCCTCCCCCACCGCCGCCACCTCCGGCGGTCCTGGTACCCCTTCCTCCAGGAAGCCTTCCCTCACCAGCCCAGTGCTGGGGGGCGGCTCGCACACCGCTTCTCCCCAGGACAACCGCAGTCAGGGCCCCAGAGCGGTGGGGCCCTCAGGGCTCTGTGACTTTCCATAGGACCCATAATCCCAGCTGCAGGAAGAAGGACAGACACTTCCTTCCCCCGCCCTCCAGCTCCTTCACCCCTGCCTGGCTGGGTCCCCACAGAGTGAAGTGGGTGGACACGGAGTGATGTGTGCGTCCCCAGCGCCTTCCACTTAGATGCTGTGACTTGGGAAGAGAAGGGCTGCCGTCCCCCCACGTTCTTGCTCCATGGCCCAGTTACTGGGGGTGGCTGAGCGCCTCTTGCGGGTGTGGTGGGCGGGGCATTTTGCTGGAGTTTTATTGACCCCGTGCTTCCGGCAAGCAAGAGGAAAAAAGAAAAACCCACAAAAACCCCTTCCTCGGTCTCTGGGGGAAATTTCTGACATTTTGCCCGCCCTCTGCAATCAGCGCTCAGCTCAGCTGTGTGGCAGTGTTGGCCGGGGGTGGGTTCCTAGAGGAAGGAAACTGGGAGACCTTTGAGATTGAGAGGTTTAGATGTTGCCGAATCTCTCCTCTCACCCAGCCTGTAATGCCCTTGGTAACATCCTTGACAGCTGCTCCCCAGCCCTCTGCTTACACACCCTCAGTGATGGGGAGCTCCCTCACTGTTTCATAACAAGGATAACAATTATCGTTGATGGAGCATGCTCTATGTCAGCCACAGTGCTAACCCTTCACCTGCATTAGCTCACTGAACCCTGATAGGAAACCCAGAGAGGAAACTTGGAGTTGGCAAGGTTCAGAGATTTTCCCACGGTCACATGTTAGTAAGTAGCCAGCAAGGGCCACACTGGAGCCCCCACTGGCTCACTCAGAAAGTCTGAGTCTGGCTAACTCAGAAACCTGAGCCCTTCCCCCTTACCTGGTGCTGATCCCCAAGGCAGAGCATGTCAGTGAAGAGCCCATGTGGGGGCTACAGACCCCTTCCTATTCTGCCCCTTACTTCCTGGATCACCCTCCCCTTAGTGCCCAGACTCACTCCCCAGAGTGGGAGGAGGGGAGCCTGCAGATGTGTGAGGCCTGCCTCGGTGAGGGGGGGACCCTGTGAAGCCAGGCCCCATGTTAGGCAGAGAGCATGGCTTGCTTGGGGCCTGCTGAGTGTACCTCATCTTGTCCCGGGAGCTGAGGGATTCTCCACGGGCTGTGAGCGGGAAGGAGGAGGAGGGGGCCTCCTTGGCCCTCGGGCCCTTGGCCAAGCTTGCGGGGGGGGCCCAACAGTTCCTTTCCCAGTCTGTTCTCCCTCGGTCACCAAGAGGGACACACGGCCAACATTTTTCAGTTCCAATTCCAGAGCCTGAGAAGAAAGCATCCGATGGTGCAGAGAAGCCCAGATGTCCACCTCTGCTCTGGCTCCCCCCGGCCCCGGACCACTGCTGGGGGGAGGGGTGACGGAGGGAGCAATTCTCCAAGAAGGCCAGCCTGTGGGCTGGGAAGCCCTTCCAAAACGTGTCTGCTGCCCCAGGCTGTTCGACTTTGGGGTGGTGCTGCTGGGAGCCATGGGGACACACTCCTAGGGCACCTCACCTGACTGGAGCATGCAGGGGTCTTCCTTGACGAGATGGCATCTAAAGGAGTCCTGGGGATGAGCAGGGGTTGGCCAGGCCAGGGTGAGGAGGGGGCATGCTCTGGGCAGAGGCACAGAACGTGCATAGCCCTGGGGGGGAGCAGGATGGGCTGCTGGAGAATCGGGAGGGTTCCATTTGGCAGAAGCCCAAGCCCAGGGTGTGCAGGGGGAGCGGGGGAGAGCAGGCCGGAGGGGCTGGTGGCCCGACTAAGTGCGGAGCAGTTCTCAGTGTGGGAGTTTCTTGGGCCAAAGCAGCTGGGGCCGGGTTGCCTGATGCTGCGCCAGAGGTGAGAGGCGGCGCGGGAATGTTCGCACAAACTTCGAGAACATCTGGAGTCAGCGGAGCGCCCTGAGACCGAGGGGGTGGGGCTGGAGACAGAGCAGGGCAGAGGGACCCATTCTAGCACCACCCCTGCAGCCCCCGAGCCTTTCTCAACCATTTTTGTTTCTGATTTGGAAAGTGATTCCGTGCAGAAGATCTGTGTGGAAAATGGGCAAAGGAGAAAACAGGAACGAATCAACGCTCATAACTCTTTGGCTCCGTCCGCTTCCAGCCCCCGTGGCCTTTCTGTTCTTGGCACGAGCCACACTTGTTCTGTCCTCAGGGCCTTTGCACGGGCGGTTCCCTCTGCCTGGAGTGCTCTTCCCACAGCCCTCTGTGCAGCTGCCACCTACGGTCCTTGGGGACTCGGGGAGGCCTCCCCGATCCCCCTCCCTGGAGCTCTCCCCCCTCTCCCTCTGCCTTCTCTCTTGGCTCCTGCTTTATTTTCTTCAAAGTTTGTAGGCACACTGGAAACCGACTTGCTAATTTCATTCTTGTACTTGCTTGCCTCTCTTCCCCCAGGCCCGAGGATCAGTTCCTCGGGAGCAGGGACCTCACCTTCTCCAATCTCTAAGTCAGAGCCTGGCACAAAGGTGGTGGTCAATAAATGTGAGTTGAGTGAAAATATAATCCCACCACCAAATGAGTCACTTGAGTCCTTGAATAGATTTCCTACAGCAGGGGCTTTCTAGAGTTCACCCCAAGCAGCCCCTGGCGCTGAGAGGTGATTTTAAAGGGATCCAGAGAGGGGAATTGGATGGGGTCAGAAGATCAGGAAAATTCCACCAGTGGACGGGGTTTCAGCCTGACCTGGTTGGATACAGAGGGTTCCCAGTGGGTAAAAATGGAGATGGAGAGGCACTTCAGCCTGGGCGAAGAACATTTGTATTCGTTCCCTAGAGCTGCCATCAATGAGGTACCACAAACTGAGCGGCGGACACAACAGAGATGGGTTGTCTTATGGTTCTGGAGGCTGGAAGTCCAGGATCAACGTGCTGGCACGGCCGTGCTCCCTCAGAAGGCTCTGGGGAAGGTTCTCACCTGTCTCCCAGCTTCTGGTAGTTCCTTGGCTGGTGACAGCATGACTCCAGTCTTTACCTGGCTGTGTTCCTGGGTACACGTGTGTCTTGTATCCACATGTCCCCCTTTTTATAAGGATGTCAGTCATCTTGGATTAGGGCCCACTGCAATGACTGCATTTTAATTTAATTATCTCTGTAAGGACCCTGTCTTCAAATAAGATCACATTCTGAGATACCGGGGGTTAGGGTTTCAGCGTGTCTCTTTTGGGGGACAAAATTCAACCCATTACAACATTCCAGGACATCGGAGGGGTGCCAGAGTAAAGACCAAGGTACCCAGTGGTGGCTGCAGCGTAGAGCCCGTGATACGAGCCATGTACAGTAACCCCAGAGCAGGAGTCAGAGCCAGAGGGAGGCCTGGGTCCATATTGATTAGGTGGTCAGAGCACATATTGATCAGATATATGTGTCAGGCCCTGTGTGAGGGGAATCATTGGTGAGCAGAAAGGAAAAGATTCAACCTTGAGGAGCTGACAGTCATGGGAGGAATTCAGATACTGAGACAATTTATCCCACAAATAAGCGTGATTACACAGCTAGATTAAATAGATTACAGCGGAGTTAGGTATAGGAGGGCGAGGTACATGATCTCTGACAGTTTATAACAGGGGTCCTGACCAAGTTGCTGACAAAATGACACCTTGACAATGATGCGAAGGCTGAGCAAGAGTTTACTAGGGGAAAGGGGAGAGGTGCATTCCTGGCAAAGGGCCAGCTTGTGCAAAGGGCCTGGGGCCAGAAGGGAGCATGGCCCCTTTGGGGGACATGGAGATTCCGGTGTGGCTTGAGATTAGACAGTAAGGAGGCTGTAGGTAGGCAGAACCTCCTTAACCATGGTAAGGACCTAGGGCTCTATCGTGGGAGCCATGAGATGCCTTTGAAAATTTTAGGCGAGGGGTAATGCGGTCACATTTACCTCTCTGAAAGACCACTGGGGAGCTACCAAAATTTTCTGAGCTAGACGATGCCAGCCATCAAGCCAGTATTTCTGGGAGGTTCTTACATGTTTTTCTAGAGCAGGAGCTTCTCCATGGGTAGATTTCAGGGGGTCCTAAACCTGAAAGAGTTCACTCCTTTTCATCAGCCTCTAACTAAAATGCCCTGTATGAATTCCTTCCATTATGAATTAAGACAACAAAGCACAGTAATGATATTGTAGGTGTCTGCAGCTTTTCCAACAGAAATCAGATATTCTCAAGCATATCACGAAATACTATTTATGCTCATCGGTACTTTGAAACTATGGTATTCATTAGATTTTATTTAATGAGTTTACAAAGAATCACATATATTGCTATCTATTATTTTAATGCTTTGATAACTGTGCTCTCACATAGCTAGGTTCCTTGGAAACCCGATGTATTTTATTTTATGCACTTAGAAACATGATTCCAAGTGGTGTCCCATGTTTCCCCAGAATGACTAGGCGGCACAAGGAATGTTGAGGACCCGTGGTTTAGCCTAACTTATTTATGTCTAAAGTCAGGGTAGAGAAATAACTGGCTCGATAACGGAGAAGACGGTGACCCCATAAATTCAGTTTGGACGTCCTCAGGGTCCTTTTCTCTCTGTCCTGGACCCTACTTGTGTCTGAATCACCTCCTTCTCAGGCATGCCGTGGCCACGCTGCCCCTGCCACGATCTGTCAGCCCTGGATTTAAACGGCCCTTTACACCAGGAATCCAAAAACAGACAGGTGTTCTTAACTGGTAGATTTTGTGAAACTCTCAGAGATGCGGCTCATTGGCCGGCACAGATCATGTGTCTCTGAACCGATCGTAGTGGTGAGGAAGTGCTCTGATTGGCTTATTTGGGTCACGTGTCCATACGGAAGGACGAGGTATTCTGATTGGCCTATCTGGGTCACGTGCTTATCCTGAAGGCTGAAGGCCGAGGTATTCTGATTGGCTTATCTGGCTCACAGGGCCATCCGGGACTCAAGCAGTGCGTGGTAGGCGCCCCGGCCAGGACCGTCGCTGGCGCGAGAGCTGGGCGGGCCGGGGAGGGCGCTCTACGCCTTTGCCCCACAGTTTGGTACCAACGCCATGCATCTCCCATCCTTGTATAGTGGGAGTCAGGGACTGCTGGCTGAGGCTCCTCAGGGTCTAGGGCCTTAAGGGCTCCCCAGTTCCTGCAGGGAAACAGGACTCCTGCCCGAATGACAGCGGCCGGTGCTCCTCCAGCACTTGTGCGAAGCACACCTGTTTATTTTCACAATCCCTTTACCTGGCTCAACAACCCGAACAGGGGGATCGTGTTAACGTCATGGTGCCCATGAGTCATGGAACTTGCCCAAGCCACGCAGTTGGAACCCCCAGGCCCAGGTCTTCCACCCAATCTGTGCTGCTTCTCCCGCCTGCCCGCTGACCTTAGGTAGGCAAGGTCTGCTCTGTCCCCGGCGATGCCTCCATGACACGTTTCTTTTTTTAAAGTAATCTCTCTGCCCAACTTGGGGCTCAAACCCGTGACCCTGAGATGAAGAGTCGCATGCTCTACAGACTGAGCCAGCCAAGGCGGGGGTGGGGGGTGAGGGGGTGGGGTGGGGGTGGGGAGGAAAGTCTTTTCTTATCCCTGCTCTGCAGTGAGGAAACCCGGACTTAGGCAGGTCAAGGGCCTTTCCAAAGTTACAAAAGTCTGGTAAGTGGCAGATCTGGAGTTTGAGCTGTGTGTCTGACACCAAGAGTCAGTCTGGGGAGGTGAGGTCTTCGCCAGGGCGGCTGGGCCTGGAGCTTCTCTGCTTCTTTCCCCAGGGCTGACCTCGCAGCAGCCGTGCGCGCAGAGGTCATATGACTGCAGGAAGCAGTGTGACCCCGACTACTACCTGGACAGGGACGGCCGTTGCAAGGCCTGTGTGAGCTGTTCTGGAGGTAAGGGCCTTGTTCTCCCCTCCAGGGGCAGCTTCGGGGGAGGGGAGGCCCTTTGGGGGAGGGGGGGTAGGCAGAAAAGGTGGAGAGCATCAGGATTTGGTGCCTGGACTCTGAGTTGGCCCCCTGGTGCCTCAGTTTACCCCTCTGGATTTGTGAATTGATATCAGCCATGATGTTTTGCATCCGTTTTTAGAGAGACTTCCTTAACATGTTTCTTCAAGGGAGGAACTCACATTTACGGAGTTTAATCTTCACAAAACTCCTAGGAGATTTTTTTTTTTCTTTTTTTAAAGTAATCTCTCTGCCCAACTTGGGGCTCAAACCCATGGCCCTGAGATGAAGAGTCGCATGCTCTACAGACTGAGCCAGCCAAGGCGGGGGTGGGGGAGGAAAGTCTTTTCTTATCCCTGCTCTGCAGTGAGGAAACCCAGACTTAGGCAGGTCAAGGGCCTTTCCAAAGTTACAAAAGTCTGGTTAAGTGGCAGATCTGGAGTTTGAGCTCTCTGTCTGACACCAAGAGCTGTGTTCTTTACCTGAGACCACAAGTGCTTCCAGGAGGAGGCTTCCCGGAGCACCTTCACTGTTAATTTCTTATTATAGTTCTTGAATGTGGTTTGCGTGCTCTCTGGTGTTTGTTTTGTTTTGTGTGGGTGTTTTGTGGGGTGGGGTTGGGAAATTTGTCGAGATTTCTTGCGCCCTAATGTTCATATTTTTAAACCATGTTTAGTGTGTTTGGGGAAGAAAAATGTGTGTTCTGTTTGTTAGGTACAAAATTCTCTATATACCTATCAGATCAAGCTTGTTCATTGTGTTATTTAAATAATATACATTCTTTCAAAATGACTTTTTAAGTTTATTTAATTAAGGAATCTCCACACCCAACGTGGGGCTCGAACTCATGATCCCAAGATCAAGAATCACGTGCTCTATTGACTGAGCCAGCTAAGTCCCCCGAAATAATATGCATTCTTTACTTTTGCATTCTTACTTATTTTTGTCCCCTTCCCAAAGGTTGCCGTCTGAGATAGATGTGTAAAATCTATCTCCCCTGTGCTTGTTTTTCATCTCATTTTCATTGTGTTCTGTTTATTTTTGCTATGTGCCAAAGCTATGTTATTAGGTACAATGTTCATGAATACTATGTTTTCTTGGTGTGTTGGACCTTTCATCAGCATGAATTATACCTCTTTGCTCCTTACAGTGTATTTGCCTTAATTCCACTTTTGTTTGATATTAAGATTGCCGTTCTTCTTTGTCTACGTTAGCATTTCTTTGGTATATCTTTAAGTTTTTAAAATTAGTGACTGCATTGTATTAAATGAAAGTTATAGGCATTCATTATAAAACATTCAAGCAATACAGAAGTGTGAGGAAGGAAGCCAGCTCTGCCGCCTTCCCCCTCGTTGGATGTCTGACCGACACGTCTCTGTATCTCTGTATAGAGGGGAGAATGGGAAGGTTCGCAGCCAGACAGACTCTACACACATAGAGAAGAGGGTTTTTTTTTTTAAGATTTTATTTATTTGAGAGAGAGAGAGAGAGAGAGCACAGGCGCTCACACACACACACGAGAGGGAGGGGCAGAGGGAGAGGGAGAAGCAGACTCCCCCTGAGCAGGGAGCCCAAGGTGGGCCTCGATCCCAGGACCTGAGACCTGTACTGAAGGCAGCTGCTCAACCGACTGAGCCACCCAGGCGCCCCGAGAAAAGGGATTTTTAAGAGGATGGGATCACACTGTTTATGACATTCAAGTGATTCATTTAATTTTATTCAAATGTATCAGAGGAGAAAGAAACTAAAGTGAAAATAAAACAATCACAAGAGAGCAGTTTCTAAAAATAAAACCCTCTAAAATGAAGAAGAGGCTATGAAAATCGAGAAGCAGTTGGAAATCATTAAAGGAGTAACTATCTCTTGTGGTAAAATCATGTTCTGCTCGTTTCAGTTTTTGGATGGGATAGAGCATATTGGCTTCCTGTAATGAAATGAAGTAATGAAGTAAGGAAATGAAATGAAAAAATGAAGTAATCAGCTTGCTGCCTCCTTGTCCTCTTCCTGACTTTTATTACTTACTTACATTTTTTTTTTACTTTGTTATTACCTATGGTGTTTATATTCTTTTCTGTAACCTTCAGTCCCTTGGCCTGTTAGCTTTACTTTGCTATTTAAACTTACTCATTGTGCACTATGAGCACATTGAACACAGCTTCTCTGTTCCTGAATTTTTCATTTTGATTTATCGCTTGATTGGTTAGATTTCACTGACCTGTGCCTGTACCTTTTTTTTTTTTAAGAATTTATTTATTTATTTGTCAGAGAGGAGCACAAGTGGGGGAGTGGCAGGCAGAGGGGGAAGCAGGCTCCCCGTTCAGCAAGGAGCCTGATGTGGGACTCATTCCCAGGACCCTTGGATCATGACCTGAGCTGAAGGCAGGTGCTTAACCGACTGAGCCACCCAGGTGTCCCACTGGATTTATATTCTTATTAACTTCTTTTATAGTGTGAAGCGCTCTTGGGATTGCTTCTGTTTTAGAGTGGCTTCTTTATCTTTCCAGAATGTATTTCTATCTCTTTTAGATCTTTCTCTTTCTTTTTCTGTCTTCCCTTCTCCCTCCCTTCCTTCTTTACTGCTATAGTGTGTTTGCACTTCTCTATTTTTGCTTAAGCTTAGCAGGGGCAGCAGCTCTGTTACTGCCTTCTTTCTGCCCTGATACGGTGTGACTTCTCCTTTACACCCGCCCCACCTCGCTGGGCTCTGGTTTGTCTTTTCTGCTCAGTGCTTCAGCTGGGGGCTCAGCATTCCTTTTCAAAAATACTGTAGTAAAATGTACATAACATAAAATTGATCATTGTAACCATTTTTTAAAAAGATTTTATTTGGGCGCCTGGGTGGCTCAGTTGCTTAAGCGACTGCCTTCGGCTCAGGTCATGATCCTGGAGTCCCAGGATCGAGTCCCGCATCGGGCTCCCTGCTCAGCCGGGAGTCTGCTTCTCCCTCTGACCTTCCCCCCTCTCCTGCTTTCTCTCTCTCTCAAATAAATAAATAAAATCTTTTAAAAAAAGATTTTATTTATTTATAAAAGAGAGAGAGAGGGAGAGGGAGAAGCAGACTTCCCGTGGAGCAGGGAGTCCTACATGGACTCCATCCCAGGACCCCGGGATCATGACCTAAACCGAAGGCAGACGCTTAACCGACTGAGCCACCCAGGCGCCGCCCGATCACTGTAGCCATTTTGAGTGTACTGTTCAGCGGCATCAAGTGCATTCACATCTTTGGCAACACTCTCACCATTTTCCAGCTCCAGAACTTGTTCATTTGCCCCAGCTATAACTCTGTCGCCATTGAACACTAGCTCCCTAGCACGGTGCCCCCAGCCTTTGGCAATTACCGTTCTATCTCTGTGAATTTGACTACTCTAGGAAGTTCATATAAGTAGAATCCTAAAATATTTGTCTTTTGTGACTGCCTTGTTTCCCTGAGCATCATGTCTTCAAGACATTATAGCAGGGCGTCAGGCTAATACACCGTTGGATGGATCAGCCACATTTTGTTTATCCATTCCTGTTGATGAACACTGTGGTGCTTCTACCTTTTAGCTGTTGTGAATAGTGCTTCTGTATACATACGTCGACAAATAATCTGTTCAGGTTCCTGCTTTCAGTTCTTTTGGGGTATATACTTAGCAGTGGAATTGTTGGATCATGTGGTCATCCTGTTTAATTTTTTGAGGAATCCCGAGTATTACTTTTGAAACTGATTTTAGGAGCCGGAGGGCCTGGGTGGGAGGCAGAGTGCAGCCAGAGATGGGCGTCGTCCTTGCTGGGGCAGGGATCTGCCTTCCCTTCCATCAGAGGCATTACCAGAGCTCCTGCTGCCGGAAAAGAGGTGGACCCCACCCCCGGGGCCTCTGCTCATTTCCGCTGGGCCTGCCTTCCTGAAAGTTAGCAAGTCCAGCAGCCTTTCCCACCTTTGCCCAGGCCTGAGATACTGTGTTTGGGCTGCTAACTCTAAGGGCTTTTTCCTTGAATTTTCCAGGGATGTCTATTGTTTGCCCTCAGTCTGCCTCTCCCTTAGATTTTCTAGAATTCTCAGGACTTTATTCTCTCCTCAGTACTGCGCCTGCGGTGCAGGCGAGAGTTAAGGGCTACTCCTGGGCCACTACAGCTAGGAGGAGAGAGATGAGCAAGCCTCAGGAGATGGTTTTAGGGGCCAGTCCTGGGAGAAATGCCTATCATTTTGGTCCACATCTCATTGGCCAGAATCCTGTCACATGATCCAAACCCAACTGCAAGGGAGGCTGGGAAATGTAGTCTTTCTGTGTGCCAACATGAAATGAACGGGTGAATACGGCATTGTGCTCCAGGGGATTCTTTTTTTATGGCTTCAACTTCCTTTCTCTCCTTCCTTGAGCTCCAGGGGATTCCGTTTTATAGCTGCAAGTTTCTGAGACTATTAATTGTACTGATTCTAACGGCTTGTTCTGTGGTTTTTGGGGTTTTTTTGCTTTTCTTTTAATCTGCTCTTTCGAGAGTTCTTTTTGAGTTTGGAGCTCTTTTTTCTTGGTGCTGGTTTTCTCTCATGTTTGGTGACCCCTCTGCACATTGTATCTGATCACTGGGGTGGGGGAGTGTGTTCTTTAGTGGCTGATCTTCTGGGTCTGCAGGGTCCCTTCCTCCCACATAGGATCAGCCCTGGGGCACTGTCTTGCTCACCTCACCCAAGAGTCTCCTAGGGGAGATGCTTGGCTTCTGGATTCGTGGCATAAGTGGATGAGAAGCGTGGGGGGACTGACCCAGCTGGGTGCTCCTGCTGCAATCCATATCGCTTCCCTGGGGCCTGCCCCTGCCCTGTACCCACTGGGAGACTGGAGTAACCCCCCCCCCGCCCCCGAGCCTCTCCTAGAAGAACCCTCTTGGGTATATTTTGGGCTGAAGTATATTTTGGGCTGAAGGCTTTGGTCTTCTTCTTCCATGCAATCCTAACCGCCTTCCATGTTTCAGGAAGCCTTCACCATTTCTGGCTGACCAAGAATGCCTTGTGTAGCTTTCCACGAATGTTTGCATTTGCCAATTACTTATACCAGTGATTTTTTTTTCTCTTGAGATAAATACACCATTTTATTTATTTTTAAAAATTAATTTAAATTACTTATTTATTCTTGCAAGTAAGCTCCACGCCCAACATGGGGTTTGAACTCACGACCCTGAGATCGAGAGTGGTGAGCTCTACGGACTCAGCCAGCCAGATGCCCCTAAAATTCACCATTTTAAAGTGTGCAATACAGTGGCCTTATTGTATTCACAGTGTGCAGCCACCACCACTACCTGACTTCAGAAAACTTCCACCTCCCCCAAAAGAAATCCCTGCCCCCCAGTTCTCCTCCCATTCTACTCCCTTACAGTCTACTCTACATTCTATCTGTGTGGATTTGCCGACTTTGGACCTTTCAGAGCCATTAGTATGTGGCTTTTAGTGACTGGCTTCTTTCATTTTGCAGTGTTTTCAAGTTTCATCCATGTCGTAATATGGGTTGTTTCTTTTTGTGGCTGAATAATATTGCATTGTATGGATAGACCACATTTTGCTTATCCGTTCGTCGGTTGATGGACATTTGGGTTGTTTCTACTTTTTGGCTATTACGAGCAATACTGACATGAATATTAGGTTTAGGATCCTCCTCCCAAACCCTTGGCAGCCTCTGATCTTTTTAGTGTCTCTATAGTTTGGTCTTTTCCAGAATGTCACAGAGTTGGAATGACATGGCATGTAGGCTTTTCAGACTGGCTTCTTTCATGTAGCAATATGCATTTAAGTGTTCCTCATGTCTTTTTTTTTTTGGCCCATTTTAAAACGGGGGCATTAATTTCTTTTTAATATGATTGTGCTGATGTCCGGGGATCTGGGCAGGGAAGTGGAGGCTGCCTCATTGGCCCCACCTGGCTTCTTGCCCTCATTGCAGGAACACTCTGGAAAGAAGGGCTGAGCATGCCAGCTCCCTGCCCGATGGGAGGCCAAGGCGGCATCTTCTGTCATGTGCCAAACTGGCTCTGAGGGCTCTCTAGCTCCCTTCCCCATTCTACCCCTGTGCCCCGTGACCCTTCTTTGTGTCCCTTAGATGATCTTGTGGAGAAGATGCCTTGCTCAGGGAATTCCTCCCGTGTCTGCGAGTGCCGGCCTGGCATGTTCTGTGCCACATCAGTCATCAATACCTGTGCCCGCTGTATCCCCCACTCCGTCTGCCCACCAGGGATGGTCGTCAGGTTCCAGGGTAAGTATCCCCACCCTCAGCCCAACACCAAGATCTGGGCCCAACTGCACCTCTCCCCTGCCACTGCCCCAGATCTCCAAATGACCTCCGACCTCCCACTTCCTCCTTCCTGTTGGACAGACTGCTGTCTCCTTTTGAGATCCTGTAGGTGCACCAGCCACTGCAGAGCCCCCTTCCCTGTACTTTGTGTCCCCGGCTCAGGAGACCCTGATGGCTGGAGGCACAGGCCTGCCTGGATGAGGTCTTGGATTGGTTTGAGGCTCGGGGCAGAAGTTCTCTGATGCCTGGTAAACAAGAAGCAAACCTCAGGTCTCTGTCCCGGGAGTTCCCCAGAGGATTAGAGCCACTTTCCCCAACTCACTATTGAGGCATTGGGAGTTAGAGTTGCTGAGACACTTGGGTTTCTTTTCCCACTTGCTGTGTGAGCTCAGGCAAATTCCTTACCCTCTCTGGGCTTCCAATTTTCTGACAATACAAGGAGGCTCATGGCCAGAAAGGAGGTAAGGGGCACGGATGCTGTGTGGGTGGTATTGAGGGCACCTTTCAGAAGGGAGGCATGGGGAGTGGGTGGGCTTTGGACCATGGCCCCATAGCGGTGCCACAGCCACACAGGCTGGGGAAGAGGCAAGATGGAATCAGAGGGAGCCACGCCCACTGGGGAGAAAAGTGCCAACACCTAGCCCATGACGCTCCCACTTCTAACCTGGTCCTTTTCCAAAGCCCCATCCTTACCACCCTCTCTCCCACTGTCCTTTCTTCCTTTCCTTCCCTCACGCCCCACAGCCAGCGCATCTCCCAGTCCCATAGCATCTGCTCCCCTAATTCTCTCTTCCATTCCCCACCCCCAGTTCCTGCTGTCATTCCTTGCCCATGGCAGACGGGCGGGGCCACCCTTGCAAAACCAAATCTGATTCTCTCTCTTTCTCTCTGTCACACACACACACACGCACGTGCTAAAAAAACACTTTAGTATCTTCTCATTACTCTAATGATAATGACATGATTCTTTGGCAGAAGAGAACAGGTTTTTGGAGGCACTTCTTTGTTAAAGTCTGGGCCGTTTGGCCTTCCTGGGCTGCTGGCTTATTTGGCTCCACGTCTGGGATAGAAGAACAGAGAAAACCCAAGGGACTCACCATGGTGTCATTCCTTGGGTTCCAAGGCCTTCTCTCCACTGTTCAGAATCTTCTCTGTTCAGACACATGCGCATGGCGTTTAGCTGTCTTTAGTGGGAGGGCTAGGGGAAAGGGCGCCCACTCCGTCTTCCCAAGGCAGTCTCCAGGATGTGATCCTGTACGCCGTCCTGCGCAGTGTTGTCCTTCCTCCAGCCTCGGGCTCGGTGCCTCCTTTCCTGGCCTCGCTTGGTCTGCTGTCTTTCGATTCTATGGGTGCGTGGTGCTTCTCCCTCTTACCAGGCCTTTGTGCGTGCGGTTCCCTCTGCCTGCGACACGCTTCCCTCCTGTTCACTCAGTCAGCTCCTCAGCCTTGAGCTCTCTGTCCAGACGTCACTTCCTCAAGAGGCCGCCTGCGACTTGTCACAGGTCACGTCTGCATTGTGATCTCTTATCACACAGTGTTTTTCGCAGACATGGATACGAACATTTGTATCTCTCTTGGTTTGATCAGTGCTGGCCTCCCTCCCTGGGGTGTAGCTTTGTGAGGGCCAAGACCAGGCCTATGGGGCTCCTGGTCATCTAGGGCCACAAGCAGGGCCAGGGGGTGGAGTGGAAAATGCTCTGGGCTGGGCATCAGACACCTGGGGTACTGTTAGCTTTGCATCCGTAGGGCGTGTTCCCACCCCATCCTGGGCTTCAGTCTCCCATCGGTAAAATGTGAAGTTGTCACTAGAAGGCCTTGGGAGACTTTCCAGCTCAGAAACCCTTGCATCTCTGGGAAAAGTAGTGGAGGTCTGTTGTTCCAGCCAGTGAGGGCCTTTCTGTGGTGTTCCTGCGACTGCCACATGATGGCGCCAGAGGCCTCTCTCTGCTGCCCCTGGACCCGTGCTGCCCCTAGCGGTCCCGCTGGCCGCATGCAGCCAGTGGCCCCTTGCGTTGAGATACGCTGCCAGTGTAGAACATTCACTGGATTTCAAACACGTAGTAGACAAAAATGTAAAACAGCTCGTTAACTCTTTTTTATATTGGATATCTACCGACATATTTTAGATCTATTGGGTTAAATAAATTAACTTCACGTGTTTCTTTTTACTTTTTAAAATGTGGTTACTAGGCGATTTCAGATGACATGTGTGATTCCCATCGTGTGTCTATGGGACAGCGCCGCTGGCTAACTCCTGGACTCGCCTGTGGATGCTCCCACAGGGCAACTCTCCAGCCATAAAATGGAAAGTCGTTTCTGCTTAGGAGTCAGCCCATAGCTAAGCAGCAGGTGTTCTCTCCTGAAGGGCTCAGAACTCCATCAAGCAGACTGAATTAGCCATCTTTTACAGCTGAGGAAATTGGGGTCCAGAGATGGGTAAATTGCTCCAGACTACAGAGCAGGGACTATCCGAGCCAGGCCTCATCACCCCACTGCACTCAGAAACACAAGACACATCCGCGTTGCTCATGCCGCCTCCACATCCCACATGTGGGACCCTTTCTAAGCAATGGACAGGAGTCCAGATGGGGAAAAGGACATGCTATTTATTAGACATTTACTATATATCACACAGCGTGATGGGTACAGTGAGGACATGAAAGAAGTATCAGGCGAACTCAGGTCCGCTGGATAGAAAGTGCTGTGTGTTTTCCTCTTTACTCTGCTTGCACCCAGTATTCTTCAGGAATCTTTGAGTTGCTGGCAACAAAATCTCAAAATTTTTTGGTTCATGTAACTGCAAAGTCTGGGGCTCGCTCTGGGTAGTGTCTGGCACGGCTGGATCCAGGAGCTCTGCCTTTTCCTGTTTCTCATCTCTCCTCGCCTATGTGTAGGCATCTGTAAGACACCTCCCAGCAGCTCCCGGCGTGCTTCCCACCCAACCCCAGTGGAAAGACGGCTCCTCCATCCTACAGTTTCAAGAACCAAAACCAAAACCTTGGTGTTGTACCTCATGGGCATGCCTTGGGTCATGTGCCCATCCCTGAACCAGTTCATCAGGGTCAGAGGAATGAAATGGATCGATGGGTCCAACCTGCTCTGTGTTTGCTCCTGGAAGGGAGGGATGTGAGTCAGTCTCAGCCCCTGAACACAGATACTGAGATTGGAGAGTATTCCCCAGGGGAAATCGGGGTGCTTTACCACAACAGGGACCAGACACACGGCAGGCACAAACATCAGATGGCTGCTCCGTTTCCAAGCACCTCATTCCGAACTCTGGGTTGTGGTGGTAAAAGATCTATGTCTAGAGTCTTCAGGCTCCTCCATGACGTCTCCTCAGTGTGTCTCAGTGAACCTCCTGACTCCTCTGTGGCATCTGTCCCTCCTGCATTGCTGTGTCCCCTCCCCCCCCGCAGGTACAGCAGAGAGGGACACCATCTGTGAGCCACTCTCCCCAGTGACCAGCCCTGACTGCAGCACCAGCCCCGAAGCCTGCCAGGCGCCCGCCAGGTGACTCCCCTTCCCCATCCAGCTGAACTTGGCTGTCCTGGCCCACAGGATGCCTGGAGCCCAGCTGGCTGTGATGTGGGTGGGGTTCAGCCCAGGGTGTCAGGATTCTGGGGTGCCTCTCTGTCAAGCCCACAGGCCACTTGAGGCCCCACCGTGTGCTCAGTCTTCCCTGAGCACGTGAGAGAAAAGCCTAGAAAACACAGTCCTTGCTCCCAGGAGCTGACAGCGGGGCTGCCAGAGGCTGTAGGCAGAGGGTCTGGGGGCCCCCTTCTCTGCGGAAATGGTTGCCCTTGAGAACAGACCTCCCTTTGCCCCCTTAGGAGAATTGGCAGTGCCATTTCTGGCTTCTCTCTCAGCAGCAGGCCCCCCCAGGCCAGGCCCCTGGGGACTTCCTCAGCAAGCTCCAAGGCCAGGACCACACTTCCTGGAGGGGGTGCTTCCCTCACCCCGGAAAATGATTCCAAAATGACCAGAGCCCCCAGCTCTCCCTCCTCAGTGCGGAAGCCCAGTCCCAATCCAGGTGAGTTCTCCGGAGAAGCTGTGGGGTGGTTCCCAGGACAACAGCGTGTTGTTGGCGGGCGAGCCCTGTGGTCCAGGCCGGGGGGACGGTGGTGGGGGGACCCTGGGCTGGAGTCTTTCCCAGTCCGGGCAGAAGAGGGTCTCCGGGTCTCTGGAGGCTGAAGGCGTCGAGAGCTAGAGTAGATCATGGAAGAAGTCATTCGTTTGACAGCTTGAGTGCCTCCTAAGTGCGACACGGAGGTGCTTGCCAGGGAGCAGGTATTGATCTGATGCCCTCCTGGTTCCCACGGCGACGGACGGGGCCCTCAGTTCGCTCCTGCTTTTTACTGACTAGCCTTCCATGGTGGCTCACGTTTATCCAGTAGTCTTTGGATATTTGGGTTGTTTCCTCTTTTTGGCTGTAATGAAAAGCAGGTCTTTGTGTGAATGTATGTTTTCATTTCTCTGGGGTTTGTTTGTCTTTTTAGTTGACTTCCTAATAGGACTTCTTACAGTTCTGGGTTTGAGCCCTTCATCCCACAGTGGTGTGCAGAAGACCTCCTCCCACCCGGTGGCTTGCCTTCTCATTTTCTTTATGGTGTCTTTGCTAAAGAGATGGGTTTTTTAATTTTATTTTTAAAAAAGATTTATTTATTTATTAGAGAGAGCGCGTGTGCATGTGCATGTGTGCACATGTGTGAGCAAGGGGAGGGTGAGAGAGTCCTCAAGCAGACTCCCCGTGGAGCTCAGAGCCCGATGTGGGGCTTGATCCCAGGACGCTGAGATCATGACCTGAGCTGAAATCAGGAGTCCGACACTCAGCTGACTGAGCCACGCAGGTGCCCCTAGAGAGATGTTTCTAAATTTTAATGTAGTCATGGGCGCCTGGGTGGCTCAGTCAGTTAAGCATCTGCCTTCAGCTCAGGTCATGATCCCAGGGTCCTGGGATCGAGTCCCTCATTGGGCTCCTTGCTCAGTGGGGAGCCTGCTTCTCTCTCTGCCTGCCACTCCCCCTGTTGTGCTCTTTCTCTCTCTCTCTCTCTCTCTGAAAAAGGAATAAATAAAATCTAAAAAAAAAAAAAGATTGCAGTTTAGAAATAGCCAGATACATTCCTTCCCTTTCTGGGCTTCAGGACTCCCTCAGAAAGATTGATCTGACACGTGTGGAGTTTGGGAGCTGGCCATGGAGCCGGAGGTGGCGAACGGGTGCGGAGGTGGGGGCCTCTGTCAAGGTGGCCCGGCCTGGAGCTTCTCTGCTTCCTTCCCCAGGGCTGACCTCGCAGCAGCCGTGCGCACAGGGGTCATCGGACTGTGGGAAGCAGTGTGACCCCGACTACTACCTGGACAGGGACGGCCGCTGCAAGGCCTGTGTGAGCTGTTCTGGAGGTAAGGGCCTTGTTGTCCCCTCCAGGGGCTCCTTCCTGGGAGCAGGGGGTCTTAGCCGAGAATCTGGGGATGGGGGACCCCGAGTTCATTCTGGGACTGCTCAGCCTTCGGGAGCCTAGCTCACCTCGCTGGTGTCTCTGAGCAGTTGGCCTTTACTGAGTCCCACTCTTGATTGTGGGGGTGTTGATGGGGGTGACCCCTTCTCAGGGAGCTTGCATTTGCTCACACTTGCAAGGGAACATTTGTTATTGTCTACCTCTTCCAAGCTTGTCTCGTTATTTTTGGTAGCTGCCTTCTGGTGTGTGGATTATGATTGTCCCCATTGTACAGAGGAGAACACTGAGGCCTTACAAAGGCCACAAGCCCTCAAGAGCAGCAGGGCCAGAGGTTAAACTTGGAGGTTCTGGGCTCTGGTCAGTCACTCCACTGTCCTTAGAGCATGCTCGGGACAGGCACTTACTGGGTGACTGCCGTGTACATGACCAGCTCAGCACGGCCTCACAGCACCACCAGCTGCGGGCCCCCCCCGCCCCCGCCGTTGACCATGAGAGCCACACAGGGCAGGGGAAGCTGCCCAGGCCCCGAACTGCCATGGCTGGTTGCAGCCCCGGCCCCCTGCAGAGCGGTGGGGCTGTGTGCGATTATGCCCCTTGTCCAGGGTTTCTTTCACACCCTGGCTAAAGTCAAGGGAGGCCAAAAGAGGAAAGAACACCATTCCAGTTACTAAGGCCACATAGCAGGTTTTCTCAAAACGTGGTGGCAAAAAACAAAGCACTCATTGTACTCATGAGTTCCATGGGTCAGAATTCAGACAGGACCCCGAGGGGATGGCTGGTCTCTGCTCCACGATGTCTGGAATTTCAGCTGGAATTCATGAAGCCTGGAGGCGGGAATCGCCTGAAAGCCTTTTCATTCATGGGTCTGGGGTTGGTGCCAACTGCTGGCTAGGGCCTCAGGTGCCCTCTGTGTTGGCCTCTGTGTGGCTACCTTGGGGGCTTCCTCAAGGCCTGGTGGCTGGATGCCAAGAATGCGGCAGGGTTGGGGACAAGTCCTAGCCCTTCTGTTGACCTTTCCTTGGATGTCACGTGGCGTGACTTCCGCCAGTTTCTACCTCTTGAGGCAGTCACTCTGTTGGCAGATCCCAATAGAGTCAACAGAAGGAGAAGAGAGCAAAGCTCTCGACGGGTAAGTGGCAGAGGTCTGGAAGAGCAGACGGGGCCAGAAACACTGCTCTGGCCGTTTTTGGAAAAAATATAATCTGTCATAGCCACCATGACAGAGAGAGAAACAAGAGGGGGCTCTGGGTCTGAGAATCCCTTCGGCTCTAAGGATGAAAGCCCTGCAAAGCCGTGGGGTGGGGGACGGGGGCCAAGAGCACAGGCTCTGGAACCCAGAGCCCGGGTTCGGGTCTTGGCTCTGCCGGGTTGCAGCTTATAAACACAAGCAGGTTTCTTAACGACTCTGCGGCTCAGTTTCCTCATCTGCAGTGGGCATGACGACAGCACTCCCTGAGAGAGCCGTGGCGGCAGTTAAATAGGTCAAACTACGTTAATCCGGGCAGAATGGCGCTCGATGGTATTACTGCTGCCTTGCATGCACTCAGTGATATTTTTAAAAAAAGAGTTTATTTATCTATTTTGAGAGAGAGAGTGTGCACGTGGGGGTGAGGGAGGGAGAAGGAGAGGGAGGGAGTTTGAAGCCGACTCCCCGCTGAGCACAGATTCCCCACGCAGGGCTGGGTCTCGCAACCCCGAGATCATGACCAAGAGTCGGATGCTTAACTGACTGAGCCACCCAGGACCCCCCCCCACTCAATGATACTAATACTGCCTAGCACACAATCGATGATGTTTATAGCTATAGTTGTGACAATAGCTGTCACTGTCCCAAGTCCTCTCTCTCACTCTGAGCTCACTCTTGCCATCTACACAAATGCTCCACGTCCTCCCCAATGCCCACTCTCTCTGGAGGTTTCAGGAAGAGACTGTGAGGTTCTTTATCATTTGAGGTCTCTTAAGTGATTGAGAAAAGTCCTCATGAGCAAGTCACATTTATCTAATCTACTAATGCAGTCATTCTAGTTTCACCCATTTAGAGCACATAAAGTGTTCCCAAGCATATGTAAATGCATTATCACATGCTTGCTTTTACAAAACCTCTAACATTTTATTTTTTTTATTTTGGGGAAACAAAACCCTTCTTATCATTGAAAATTTCGTTTTTTTAAAAGATTTTATTCATTTATTTGAGAGAGAGAGAGAGAGAGAGCACGAGTTGGGGGGAGGGGCAGAGGGAGAGGGAGAAGCAGACTCCCTGCTGAGCATGGAGCCTGACCCGGGGCTCGATCCCAGGACCCCAAGATCATGACCTGAGCTGAAGGCAGACACTTAACTCACTGAGCCACCCAGGCGCCCTATCATTGAAAATTTCAAACATATTCAGGAGTCAGGGATGGTGACGGACTTCACCCAGTTTTTAAAGAATGATCAAGTCATGGCCAGTGTGGGTTCATCTATACCCATGCCTGCTTACCCTGGTCTCTAGATTATTTTCTTTTTAACAGCTTTATTGCGATAGGATTGACATGCAGCGCAACACACGTGTTCCAGTTGTGCCATTCGATGCGTTTTGACATAGCGTGTGGCTGTGAAACCGTCCCGGCCAATCAAGGAGAATGATTTCCCCAGAAAGTTTCATCATGTTCCTTACCCTCCCTCCCACCGTTGCTCACCCCGCTTGCATCCCCAGGCCATCACTCTGCTTTCCGTCACTGCGGAAGATTTTGCGTTTTCTAGCATTTTCTGTGAACATAATCGTATAGTCCATATTCTTTTTTTTTTCCCTACCTTCTTCCACTCAGCCTATTTTGAGCATGCCAAAAGATCTGCTCAACAGAATAGTCACATGAGTGTTTGCTTCCAGGCACATGCTTCTCTGCTCTCCTGGGGGGGGGGGTCTCTGGACCCCCTGCCCTTGCCATCCCAGATCCTTCCTCATGACCCTTCTCTGTGTCCCTTTGAAGACCTGGTGGAGAAGGCGCCGTGCACGTGGAACTCCTCTCGAGTCTGCGAATGTCGATCTGGCATGTTCTGTGCCACATCAGCCACCAACTCCTGTGCCCGCTGTATCCCCCACTCCGTCTGCCCACCAGGGATGGTCACCAAACCCCAGGGTAAGCTGTGGGTACCCTCAACCAAGGGGCTGAAATCTGTGCCCCTGCAGCTGAACTTCTCTCCACCCCCAACCGGGCAAATGACCTTCAACCCTAGCTGTTAACTAGGTCAGGTTTGGGCTTCGGTTTTGTTTAGAAAGTTAGAGCTGGTAAGTGGAATAAAGTCTAGATCTGGGGGTGCCTGGCTGGCTCAGTTGGAAGAGCATGTGACTCTTGATTGTGAGTTCCAGCCCCACGTTGAGATTACCAACAAAACAAAACAAAAACCTTGAAAAAAATCTAGATTTGGCATTTTGGTAAGATTTTTTTTTGGTTAAGATTTTATTTATTTGACAGAGGGAGAGAGAGAGCACAAGCAGGTAGAGTGGCAGGCAGAGGCAGAGGGAGAAGCAGGCTCCCCGCTGAGCAGAGAGCCCGACGCAGGGCTCAATCCTGGGATCGTGACCTGAGCCACCCAGGCGCCCCTTGGTAAGAGATTCTGATGCTTTTTAAAAAAATTCTTCCTTCTGAAATCGTTGGGCTGGTAAAATCTTCACTTATTTGAAAGGCTGTTTCATTGAGTCAAGATAGAGCAATATGAAATTTTTGAAGACATTTCCAACTCCAGATGGTAGGCATTTGGGGCACCTGGCTGGCTCAGTCAGTAGAGTGTGCAACTCGTGATCTTGGGGTGGTGAGTTTGAACCCCATATTGGGCATAGAGCTTACTTGAATAAAAAACAACAACAAGCAAAAACAAAGAAAAAAAGGATGGTAGACATTTGCCAGAGTGCGGAAAAATATAAACTCTTGACAGTGGGGTGGAAAAAAGGTTAATTGACAGACAAGAGATTTCAACAAATTTCTAGAAGGTAGAAAACAGATGGGAGGGTGGTGACAAACGAAACGAGGGGGAGGGAAGCTCGCCCCGGAATTCAATCCATGAGTGCTGCAGGAAAAGTGAGAGGTACCTGGCTTGTAAGATCCCCACGGAGGCTCTGGGCTCAGAGCAGGCAAGTAAAATGAAGGATGGGCGTGAAGTGGAGAACTGAACAGTGCAGTGGGGTACGACTTCATCTTGAAAATAAAAATTAAAAACTTGAGACAGTGGTACACCGTGGACACTGAGCAGTTGGAACAGATGGTGCCTGGGTTTTCATCCTCTGGTGAAAATCATCAACTTTTTGGCTGAAGACACTGAAGGAGCAGCTGGGGAAACAGGCCTTCTGGTGTGGTACTACCACCCTGCGTAAAGCCCTCTTTGGCTGTGTGTTTCTGAGTGTAGCCTGTTGATAGGCTACCCCTGCTAAGTCACCCTGAAGTGAAGACTGCCGGCCCCCACTCCCCACCGTGGGCCCGGAGTTCCCAGATGGCCCTCCTCCTCAGGGAAGAGACCTGCTGTGGAAAGGCCATGCTAGCCCCACAGCAGAAGAACCCCCCCCCCCAACACCCAGCTGCTGGAATATTCAGCAGAGTCCTTTTTAAGTAAATATGAGTGAGCAATAAAGCTATTCAGACTGTTAAGGAAAACCAGCTGCATGATGGAGAATAACAAGATACATTAACAGAAAACTTACTGTGGATGAAGCAATAGAAATGGTCTCAGGAAGAGGAATAGACGGTTAAAATTTTAAATTAGCGTCCACAGAAGAATTCAAGTTGTTACATCCTTAGAGAACAGAATGCCATGAAAAAGAAACAGTAAGAGAGAAGAGTACCAAAAAAGGCTTTTAGAAAGTGTGCTTGTTACCAAGTATTGCCTCTCAACTCTCAGTTCACCTTCAGTACCTGCTGTGCAGTAAAGTATTGGACTCTTCATGTATTTCTTCTAGTGAACACGATGTTAAGCTTTGCCAGAGGACACTGGGGAGCCATTGCAGGAAGAAGGAGGCTTCTCTTGGCTGCATCTGCTGCTTCTTGCTGCGCCCTCTGTCAGCAGAGCATATGGGTGGGGACGTTTGGTCGTGCCCTGCCCCAGTCATGCTCCCAGAGTAGACAGTCCCTGGGCAACCTCACAGCCCCAGCCTGGGTCTGGTGACCACCTTGGTGTGACCCTCCCAACGGGACTCTGGTGTACTCCAGGCCTCATGTCAGCAGAAGTGCCATAATTCCCTCTGTGCGCCCCTACCCCAAGCCTTGGGTCTTCTGCATTCCCATTGCTTACGGCCCTCTTAACCTGGTCCCTGAGTGCTCCGGGCCTTGTACCCACAGGGATGCCCCAACTTTCCTGGCGTGCTTGACCTGAAAAATAGGAGACTTCAGATGGACCTACCAAGAGCAAACAGGATGAATAAGATTACTCGTATCCAGACACAACAGATGTATTTATTTACCCATTCACTAGTTGACAGACATTTGAGTTATTTCCAGTTTGGAGCAATTATGAATAAAGCAGTTACAAACATTCTTGTACAACTCTGTGTACACATATATTTTCGTCTCTCATGAGTAAATGCCTAGGAGGTGGATGACTAGATCACTGTGCTCGCCACACAGAGTGTCTTTGCGGGCCAATTCAAAGCCTGTCACCACCCGTGACCTGATCTTACCCACCTAGTTTTATGGATGGAGAGGACCAGAGCTAGAACTGGAACACAGGGACCCTGAGTTCCAGCCTGGAGTACTCTCTACCAGACCACATCAGCTCCTTCTTAGTTCTGAACCTAGAATTTTCTATTCGGTTAAGATACAGTTAAGTTTGAAAGCAGAAAAAAAAAAATTTTTTTTTTTCAGACATTTAAAAGGGCAGAAAGATTTTCCCTCATGTGTCCTGTCTTAGAGAGTTACTTGAAGGTGTTATTTGGCTAAATGAGCGGCTAAAAACAAAACAAAACAAAAAGCCATGAATCTAGAAAACAGTGATTCTATCGCAGGAGAGCAGGGAAGTCCCAGTAAGACAGCTGTATTGCAGACCGGTTGAGCCAGATAAGAACAGAAAAATGAAGGAGGGCTCCAGTGAATTGTCTTGTCTGCAGGAATGAAAGAATTTCAGTAAACTTCTTGAGTAGTATGTTTGAAAAACTTGATGATGTGGTAAAGGCACATTGTTTTCTCAACAAGAAGACGAAAGGCAGTTGAGAATTCTAGGGAAAATAAAAAGCTGACAAGAAATTTACACTCCAGGGCGCCTGGGTGGCTCAGTTGGTTAAGCGACTGCCTTCGGCTCAGGTCATGATCCTGGAGTCCCGGGATCGAGTCCCGCATCGGGCTCCCTGCTCAGCAGGGAGTCTGCTTCTCCCTCTGACCCTCTTCCCTCTCGTACTCTCTCTCTCTCATTCTCTCTCTCTCTCAAATAAATAAATAAATAAAATCTTTAAGAAAAAAAAAAAAAGAAATTTACACTCCAAATATGAAGATGAAAATTTCATCTGATTTTAAGCACTTGTTGGATGCATTAAAAGAGAATCCATTTGACCTTGAATGCTAAGACCGTTCTCCTTCAAATGGCCCAAGGATCAGGTGTTTGGATTTAAAGAGAAATGTTTCAGTCTGGTAAATAATATCCTCTCTAGTTCTAAATTGGGAGTAAATATGGGTAGTTTCTTTTTCTTTTTTTTTTTTTTCCTCTTTCAGTGGGCCCTTACCAGAGAACACAGGCAGACTGAGTAGAGGCTAAACAACACCTTCTGCTCACCTCCAGATTTAAGGGAGGAGGAAAAGGGGTGGGTCACTACGCCAGGGAGGAGGGAGGAAGGCGGAAGGCTACAGATGGTATGATACACATGGAGAAGCTGAGAGGCAGCCAAGGAGCACTGGGTCCATCTTCTCCACTTAGAGAAGGACAGCAGTACTTTTTGTTTTTTTAAGGTTTTATTTATTTGAGAAAGAGAGATAGTGAAAGAAAGCATGAGTGGGGATTGGGGGAGGGACAGAGAGAGAGGGACAAGCAGACTCCCCACTGAGCAGGGAGCCTGATGCGGGACTCGATCCCAGGACCCCGGGATCATGACCTGAGCCGAAGGCAGAGGCTTAACCGACTGAGCCACCCGGGCGCCCCAGGACTGCAGTTCTGTGGCTGGATTCCGGCAGGTGTTTCAGTGGGAGCTCAGACTGAGGCTGCCTTAGAGAGAGGCCAGAGGGCTTTCCCCTCATGGTGCGACCTGGGGGTAGCCATGGTGATATATTTGAACACAAGAACTCCTCCAATCCTCTCAAAGTCAACTCTTGTTGAAACCAATGACATTTTAAATTTAATCAAATACTGATTTGCAAATAAATAGAAATTATCATAGCTTCCTCATAGCTTAAAGTCTGCAGGCTTCAACTAATTCAGGTAATAGTCTGGTGACCCTGAGGAAAGACCTAGCATCTATTTGGAGACCCCCCCCCCCCGCCAAAGGGGAGAGTTCCTCAGGACACCACTAATCCAAGAAGAAAATTAATCCTTGCTTCACTTTCTCTTCAAAGTGTTTCAGGAAGAATCTGAGAAACACCACGAAAGCTTTTTAGAAGGGAAAGGAGTGTGGGTGGGGGATCCGCTTTGTACCGCATCAGAGGAGGGGTGCCGCCGCCAGGGACATGGGGGCAGAGAGGGATCGTGGCTGGGCCTGACCTACTTCAAATGTGGGCCAGTTTTCTTACCCCTAGAAAAGGAGTTAATTGTAAACTTGTAAGAATGTGCTCAGTCCCCAGGCAGGAGGTGGCGTGGTCCAATGGAGTGTGCTGTGGGCTGGAATCCAGGAGTCCTGCCTTCGGGCTCTAGGTCTGGCTCAGTGGTTCTCTCCCATCTGTAAAAAGAGTGGCTGGGTCAGATCAGAGGAGACCATCTTTGAATGGGTCCTCAGAGGCCTTCTGTCTGGTCAGCACAGGCTTCCCCCTCCGAAGTATCAAGAGGAATGAGATTATATGTCCTCACAAAGACTTGTACAAGCACATTCAGAGCTGCCTTATTTATAGTAGCTTCAAACTGGAAACAACCCTGATGTCCATCAACTGGTGAATGGATAAATAAATGGTGGTACATCTCTACAATGGAAGACTACTCCGTGCAACACAAGTGAATTTCAGAAATATTATGCCGAGAGAAAGAAGCCGGACCCCAGAGAGTACTTACTGCCTGATTCTGTCTAATGAAATTCTAGAACAGGCACACTAATCTATAGTGACGTAATGCCCGAATGTGGGAGGAGGATTTATGGCAGAAGGTCACGAAGGAACTTTCTGGGATGGTGGGAATGTTCTAGATCTTGAATGAAGGTACAGTTACATGGAAGGATACATTCTTCGAAACCCATCAAACAGTGTAACTGAGGGGACATTTTCTTCTATATAAATTATGCCTTAATAAAGTTGATTTCAAAAGAAAGGAACTTCCAAAAAATTGAGGCTATGTTTAAATATCAGGAGATGGTATTTACATTTATTTATTTATATGTATTTATCAGGTTTCTCTTTTACATAAAATTAGAAAGGCAAGAGCCACCAAGCCACCTTCCTGTGAGATCACAGTTGGCTGGAGATGAGGAGCAGCTTTTCCACTTTGATCTTTTGAGACACAAGCCTGACTGTCTCAGCCAGCTCTAGCTGCAGGCATAACAGATGAAAAACACCGTTGACATTTCAGGGTTCAGCTCTCCTCCCCCGGTCAGCTGGGGCCTTTGCTGTCTTGCCTGGGCTCACAGGTTTGGTTTGGGTTTGCTTCGAGTGTTTCTCATCCTTCTGGGACCAGCGGGGACCACCACGTGCCAGAGCATCCTCTCCTTACAGCCCTGGTGGAAGTGCAGAAAGGCCCAGGCTGGGAACAGGCACACTGTTCCTTCCATCCTGCCCCACCGACCGACCATCCGAGTCACAGGGCATTGGTGAGGCGGGGACACAGACACCTCCCCACCTGAGGAGGTGGGCCGGGGATGTGATCTACTGCACTGATCCCATCCCCTTGCTAATTAAATCCTTGCTTTGGGGAGCAAGACCTAATTTTTAAGAACAGCTTTGTTGCAGTATACTGGACATACCCCAGGATCTACTCGCTTTAAGTGTGTAATTCAAAGATTGTAAAGACATTTACAAAGTTGTAAAACCATCACCACGATCTAAGAAACCTCATGCCTTTAGTAGTCAACCCCTGTATCCGTCCCCAGCTTGTACAAGCACTGATCCTACTCTCTGTCCCTCTAGATGGACCTTTTCTGGACATTTCCAGAACATGTGCTCTGTGTCAGGTTTCTCTCACTGCACATGATACGTTTGAAGTTCATGCATGCTGTAGCATGTATGAGTGCATTGTTCCCTTTTATTGCCACACAGTCTTCAGGTACAGGTATACTATATTTTATTTACCCATTTACCAGTTGATGGACATTTGGGTTGTTTCCACTTGTTTGGCTACTATGAAGAATGCCGCTATGAACAGTTGTGTACAACGGACCGTTGTGCACACGTTTTAACATGGCTGCTCGCCAGCCTCTCCCATGTGCTCGCTCTCCTCCCTCCCCCACCTAGGGGCCACCCCGCCTCCAATTTCCTCTGCTTAGATAGCTCCCCGCCAAGACACCGCAGCAATGGCCCCCTGACAGTAGGGATCTTGTCTCTTTTGCTCACTGCTATGTCCCAGCTCCCAGGACAGTCTCCGGTACATAGTAGGTGCTCAGTAAAGAGTTGTTGCGTGGAGGGAAGGAGAGAGGGAGAGAAGGAAAGAGGGTCAGGACACCAGCCTGAGTCTTCCTGGCTGCCATGTCCTTCTGGCCTCACCATGCCGCCTCCCGGGAAGTTACCAGTCCTGCTGGGTAAGGCTCCTTGACACCAACTCTAAGACCACTCCCTGCAGGTGCAGCTGAGAGGGATGCCACAGATGAGCTACCTCCCCCCGAGGCCTGCCCTGAGTGCAGCACCAACCCAGAGGACAGCAAGACGCCCACCAGGTGACTCCCTGGCCCCTTTTGGGGGCAGCTGGGCTGGGGCTGGCTGGAGGTGGGGCCTGGGCTGGATCTCGGTGCCAAGGTCGCAAGACATTTTGGAGGATGTGTGCCCGGCTCTGGGCTGGCACCACTGGGAATGGTTCCTGAGCACACGCTTCCCTTTCTCCATCTCCACCGTCAGTCTTACTTCTGGCTTCTCTCCTGGTAGTGCCCCTGCCCCTCTGGTGTCCTCGGCAGACCCCCAGATCAGTCAGGAGCATGGAGGGGGCATCTCCCACGCCTGGGGAGACACCCCCATATCAACGAGCACGCCCATCTCTTTCTCCTCCACGGCAAAGCCCATTCTGGTTTCAGGTAACTATTAGAGAGCAGCGTCTGCCTCCCAGAGGGCCGGGAGGAGGGAGGCTTCTCCCTGGGCAGCAGCATCCACTGGGTGGGGGAGACCAGAGCTGACCCCAGGTTTCTGGTTTCTTGAGCTGGGGCTGTGCCTCTGTCACTTGCTAGTGATTGTTCCTCGATTCTGGGCAGGGATTTTATTCACAGCTTCATCCCCATGGCCCGTAATTGCTACTCAGAAAATACCTGGAGAACGAAGACATGACCTTGACTAGTTGCTTAATTCCTTTGAGCCTCATTTTTGTTGCACGGACCACGCAGGGCAGTAAGCAGTGGGGTGCAGTGGGGTATACGTAGCTAGCACCTTACCGGGGCTCCTTGGAGGCATTCTAAGGTAGGCTTCGGTTTGGGGCTTGCAGTTCTGGTGTCAAACACTAGGTGGCGGCAGTCCTCCGGCCAGCCGACCTCAAAGCGCAGCCCTGGACTTGCAGCATCAGCAACTTGTTAGAAGAGCAAATTCAGGGCTGCACCCCAGCCCCACTGAACCACAGTCTGTATTGGAACATGGTCCCAGGAGATCTGCAGGCACGTTAAAGTTTGAGAAGCACATACATGGCACCTACTACTTTTTAACACCTGAACGTGGACTTAACAGTGACTAGATACACCATCTTCATAAGGGACACAGGAAAAAAAGGAACAAATTAAGTACTGAGTTAAGTTGTAAAAAAAAAATACCCACATAGCGGTTAAGTGTGTGGGTGCTGGAGCCGCCTGGCCTGGCCTGGCCCAAGCCGTGATTCTTGCGGTTTACCCTTTGCCATTTTAGTGAGTTACTTAATCTTTGCCAGCCTCAGTTTGCCTCGTTTGTAAAAGGAGATGGTAATGGTGCCTACGTGATATTCAGGGAACAGGTGCTGAGTGGGTGTATGTGCAGAGAAGACCCCCTGCCTGCCCATCTGGAGGGGAGCTGGGAGTCCTACCAGACTTCCCACTTCACCCTCCTCTCTGCTCCACCTGCCCGCGCCCCCCCCCCCCCCCCCCGACTCCAGCCACACTGAATGTGCTGCCGACTGCCCCAGGGCCACACCTGGCATAGGCCCTCCTCCAGGGCCCCCAGACCATGTTCTTTTGGACCTCAGTTCCTTCCTCTGACTCTTCGACGCCTCAATTTCTCACGGTCTAGAAATGGTTTGTTTCTGTGAACCGTTTAGCCTCCCTGATGGGCCCCCTCGAGCCAGGGGAGGGAGGGTAGGTGGATAAGGGCTGCACCAGGGAGGCAGAGGGTCTGGGTCTCAGTTCCTGCTTGGGGAAGGACCGGGTCCTGCCAGCCCTGATGGTGTCTGTGTCCCAGGAGAAGGAGAACATAGTCTGGGGTGAGGGCCGTGTAGGGAGGTTGCAGCGGGGCCCCCTGGCGCACTGCCATGGTGTAGACTTCAGAGCCCCCAAGCATCAGGGCCGAGGGTGCAGGGCTGCCTCTGTGTTCCAGGGCCAGTGCTCTTCTGGACGGTCCTGCTGCTGGTGGTGGTCCTGGGCTCCGTGTCCTTCCTCCTGTGCCACCGGAGGGCCTGCAGGAAGTGGATTCAGCAGAGTGAGTGGATGTGTCCCTGGGGCCTGGGGGAGGGCAGGTGCCCCGCGCTGGGCGGGCCGGGTCTCTGCGCTGCCCTCGGAGGCCCTTGGAGACTCTCCGGCTAACTCCTCTGTCGTTCCAGAGCTCCACCTCTGCTACCCTGTCCAGACCTTCCGGCTCAAGGTGGAGCCCGTGGGTAAGTGTCCAGATGTCCACAGGGGGCTACTCGGGCCCCATGGACAAAGCTGCTCGAGGCCCTGGGTCTGGGGCTCCCTCTGCGCACAGCCTCATCTGTAACGGGAATGCAGTGTGGTTGGGACCCGTCCTCCACACTCCTCCGCGGCGTTCAGAGGGCAGGCTGGCAGGAAGGTTTAAAGTCCATCTTGTCTTTCATTCTTTCCTCCACAGTGCCCACCCCCTGGAGAGGCATTCCTGAATGCCTTCCCTTCCTTCCTGGCCTCCCTACCCCTTCCTCCCCTCGCCACTGCTCTGCGTCCCTTCTGCTGGCAGCGAGGGGCATAGGGGTCTGTAGGGCGGGCTGATAGGGCTGGAATCCTGGTCCTGCCGCTTACGAGCTAGCTGTATGGCCCCGGTGGGTTTCTTCGTTCCTCTGTGCCTCGGTTTCCTCACTGTAAAAGGGGACGGTGGGGCCTACCTCAGAGGGTGTGTGGCGCCGCAGGTGGCGGTTGCCGGCCGACGGGCCGGCCTGTGTTGGGGGCCTTTCGCCTCACCAGGAGTCTCAGGGCCTTCTGATGTCTACGCTGTTCTGAAGCACTCCCTGCCCCTGGCTCTCTGAGCTCAGCCCAGCTTCCAGGCCAACTTTTGCAGACCACCTGTCAGAGCCCCTGACCTACTCCCAGCCCTCACCTGGTTGTGTGTGTGTGTGTGTGTGTGTGTGTGTGTGTGTACGCGCGCCTTTTCTCCCCTATGCAGCCATTTGCAGGCAGGGCAAGGTCTTCGTCAGCACTCCACAAGCACTGATTGAGCACCTACTGTGTGCTGGGCTCTGACCACAGGGAAGGAGTGAACACGAATTTCCGAGCTTCCCTTTCTGGTTTCAAGGCAGGCTCCCATAGAGGGTCTCATCGATCTGGGAACCCCGAGAGATGTGGGTGATGATCTGTCTCCATTCCATAAGGAGGAGTCAAGGCTCAGAAAGGGGGATAGCTGGCCAGGGCCACACAACCGATGAGACCCAAGTCTCAGGCGCCGGTCCTTGAGGTTGTGGGCTTTGTTTGTGGAGGGCTCAGACCTGTCCCCTCCGCCTCCCTCCCCTCAGGCTTTGTCCACCTCCAGTGTCCACCCGCGAGCCCAGTGGGCAGCCTCGTGCCAAGTCACGGCCCTCTGGCCCCCCGTCTCCACAGGAGCCTCGGTGACCGTCACTGCAGTCCGCCTTTGGGCTTGGGCACAAAACCTATCCACTGAGGCCTGTTTTGAATTTGATGAGTTTCACAGCAGGTGCTTGTGCGCTCTTAGCAAGGGGGGTTTTTGTGTTTTGATAGTTTCAAGCCTGTTTCCATGAGCTGTCAGCCTTAATGTCTCATTGAAACCCGTGTTTGCTTTCTTGACATTTTTCTAGTATTAGAATTTCCATTGCTGTCAGTTTATTTTTTTCTTCAAACCTTCGTGATGGCAGTTTTGCCACAGAGAAAAAGAGAGAGAGAGAGAGAGAGAGAGAGAGAAAAGTACCTTCCCTTAAGAAGGCAGACCTACGAGAAACCAAGCCTTGAGACTCAGTGGCGGCCATCCTGTTTGGGGCTGTTTCGGGCCCTCTGGCTTCCGGCGGGTCCCTGGAGGGTCTGGGTTCCCAGGCCTGAGCTGGAGGGTAGGTGAGGCCAGGATAAGCATCCAGGGCTCAGGACGAGAACGGAGGGACGGCGCCTGCGCGGCTCAGTCGTTGGGCGTCTGCCTTCGGCTTGCGTCCTGGTCCCGGGGTCCTGGGATCGAGCCCCGCATCGGGCTCCCTGCTCCGCGGGAGGCCTGCTTCTCCCTCTCCCACTCCCCCTGCTTGTGGTCCTGCTCTCGCTGTCTCTCTCTCTCTCTGTCTCTCTCTCTCTCTCTCTGTCAAATAAATAAATAAAATCTTAAAAAAAAAAAAAAACCGGATGGAGCGGGGTGGATGCCCCATTCCCTCCGGAGCAGTGGGTGCTGAAGGGGCAACGGAGCTTTCATTCACATGCTTGCTCATTTGCGTGTTCAGATCGTTGTCCAAGTGGCTCCGTGCTGGGTGCAGAAACGGGTCCTCGCTGTCCCGAGCATTCAGACCAGCATCAGTTGCTTCGAGGGACTAATGGCTGGCAGGGTGGCGATGCATGCCCCAGCCCTCCCTGTCCCAGAGCAACAATGCTTACCAGCCATCTCTTGAGTCGATTCGCCCTTATGGCCCGTGTCTTCGGCAGCAGGCTTTTGCAGAGCGCAGACGCAGACGCACAGCGGACCGGGGAGGCACCTGCTGCTTTCATCCCCATTTCGCAGATGAGGAGTCAGGAAGGTGGAGGAACTTATTTAAGGCCACTTTGTTAATCACAACCTGGGGGTGGGAATCGTGCCTGGTTAAGAAACACTGACTAAAATTCTTCATTCTAATGGGCACTAAAGTCCTTATCTGTTACTTCAGGCAGGTTTAAGTCGAAAAAAAATTTTTTGTTGTTTTGAAACAATTTCAAGCTTACAGGAGAGTCACAAGGACAGTACAAAGAACTTATTTTTCTGAACTTTTTGAGTTGAGTTAGTGACTCAATGCCTTATCATATCCACATACTTTAGTGTGTATTCATACAAACGGGTGTATTTTTATACGACATAGTGACACCATCAAAATCAGAAAATTCACACTGATGCGTTACCACTGGCGAATTCTCAGACCTCGTTCAAGATCCTTTGTCCCAACCAAGTCCTCTACAGCAGAAGAATCCAGTTCAGGATTTCGTGTTGCATCTGGTTGTCACGTCTCTTGTCAGCCTGGCTCCGTTCCTGTCTTTTCTGTCACATTGGTGACCTTGCCACTTTTGAGCATTCCACCACCGACTTGGTGGGCATCCCTCCCCTTGGGTTTGCCTGGTGCGTCCTCATGGAGACTGGAGTCAGGTCGTGCTTCTTTGGTGGCGGGAAGATGCCAGGAGTGACGCTGAGCTCCTCTGGTGGCAGCCATCCTGCCAGGTTCCAGCCGGTTGGCCCCTTTCCTGGCGTGGCTGGCTTGGAGCACTTGGTGTGAGCGCTACCTGCCAGGCTGCTCCTGCACGAGGCTGTTCTTTTCTCCTTGGCAAGCAGTAAGCACTTTCAGGGGAGGTACTGCGAAGCTCTGTGAATAACCAGTTCCTCATCACACTTTCTTCTTCTCCCTCTCTATTTATATCTGCATGGACTGGTGGCTTTCTATTTTATTCTCTTGCCATCGTTATTCTGATGTTCAGATTCGGTCCTTGAAGCTGGCCCCGGTGTCCTTCTGTCTCATCCTTTCCTGTTCTGAGCACTTTAAGAGGATCCTAGCTTACCTGGTACTTCCCTGCCCTCACCCTGGAATCAGTGGCATCTCCCAGGAGCCCAGATCTGAATTAGGGGTGCCCGTTGCCAAAGCCTGGTTGAGCCTCTGTGCCAGACTCCTTCCTCAGGTCTGTTCTGCTTCCCGCGGCAGCCAGGCCCCCAGGCCAGATGGGGGCCGGGACCGAAAGGGGAGGGTGACTGGGGTGGACAGCACCGCAGCTTCGGTGTCAGAAGCCCCGGGCTCAGCTGGCAGCCCCGGGGAGAACATGTGATTGTCCCGGCGGGGGCGGGGGGGCACCAATGCCTCGTGTGTCCCTGGACTCGTGTCCTTGGGTGCCGGGCACGTTTACGAGAAGATCTTAGAGTTACTCCCCAAAGCGCGGAAGCCAATAAATGAAGACAGTGGACTGAAGCCACATTTTTAGGGGAAGCGCACTTAGGAAATCCAATCTCTGTACTCAGCACGATTTGTTCTGGGTCTTTATCAGAGTATACACGTGGGTTATAAGGCAGCTGTAGGCAGACATTGGCACCTCTGGGTTCTGCCTTTTCACCTTTATGTTGTTTTATGCTTGTTGCCAAGAGTCGGTATCAACTGCTGGTTTTCTTTTTGGTGTGATGAGCGCTGTGCCACGTTAATGTCCTGGGACCCACCACGTGCTAGGCAGCCTCCTGGGCACTGTCCCTTTTTCACATTTAAGTTTTTAAAAAATTTTCAACAGACTTCAATTTTTAGAACCATTGTAGGGGCGCCTGGGTGGCTCAGTCGGTTAAGCGACTGCCTTCAGCTCAGGTCATGATCCTGGAGTCCCGGGATCGAGTCCCACGTCGGGCTCCCTGCTCGGCAGGGAGTCTGCTTCTCCCTCTGACCCTCCTCCCTCTCGTGCTCTCTATCTCTCATTCTCTCTCTCTCAAATAAATAAATAAAATCTTTAAAAAAAAAAACCATTGTAGATCTGTAGAGTATTTGAAAAGATAGTTCAGAGAGTTTCCGTGTGCCTCACACCCAGTTTCCTCCATTGTTTACAACTTAACGTTAGTGTGTTTGTCACGATGACTGAGGCAATATTGACACGTCACCATTAACTAAAGCCCATATTCTGTTTAGATTTACTTAGGTGTTTTTCTTTTTAATAAGAGACTTTTTTTTTTTTAATTATTTGAGAAAGAGAGAGAGAGTGAAAGAAAGCACCAGTGGGGGTTGGGGGAGGGGCAGAGAGAAAGGGACAAGCAGATTCCCCACTGAGCGGGGAGCCCAACGTGGGGCTCGATCCAAGGACCCTGGGATCATGACCTGAGCCAAAGGCAGATGCTTAACCGACTGAGCCACCCAGGCGCCCCTGGGTTTACTTAGTTTTAGCCAATGTATTTTTTTACTGTTCCAGGCTTCCACCCAGGATACCGTGTTACATTTAGTTGTCACGTCTGCTTGGGCTCCTCTGGACTTTTCTGACTTTCCTGTTTTTGATGACCTTGGGAGTGCCGGCCAGTTATGTGCTGCATGCCCCTCTATTGGAATTTGGCTAATATTTTCCTCCTAATGACAGTGGGGTTGCAGGTTTGGGGCAGGAAGACCACACGGGCTCAGGGTTGTTCTCATCACATCATATCAAGACACGTGCTGTCAGCGTGACTGATCACTGGGTACCTTCACGTTTCGGGTCTCATTTAGTCTTCGTATAAACCCTCCAAAGTTGGCATGCTGTGTCCCATTTTCCAGATATGAGGACTAAGGCTGGGAAGGTGGAGTGATGTTGTGCTGGGGGTTCCCTGCCAGGAAGCGCTCTGCTTCAAGACTGCTAAGCTGCCTCATTGTTTGGCATCTGGCTTGTTTTCAGTGTTTTGGTTATTGCACACAGCCTTGTTGTATTCTCTTGGGTTGTTTCTTCCTGAGGGTGTGTCCCTAAAGAGGGATTACTGGGTCAAAGGGTGTGAGGTTTTCACTGCCAGATGGCTCTTGAGAAACGTGGAACCAGTTCACAGGGCATGAACCACTGTGTTCCTTTTTACCCACATCCTCTCCAAGACTGAGTTTTATCACTTTTATTTATTTTATTTTATCTTGTTACTTTGTCACACTCTTTCCCCTGGCCACCCCAAACCACAGCTGGCTGTTTGCAAAAGTCAACATTACTCTCAAAGGACAAAAATTAGGCTTCACTGACATAACTTAAAAGAATGTGCCTTAGGCCAGAGAGCATTTCCCCAAGCGGTAGCTTGGGTAACAGACAGTGGCCACCCAGCGGGAATGAGCTGCGGCCTCCCAAGGTGACCACTCTGCTGGGAACAGAAGTTATCAGACGAAGGAAACTTTAACGTGTGTTAAATCAAGACTCCAGATGGGGCGCCTGGGTGGCTCTGTCGGTCAATCATCTGACTCTTGATTTCAGCTCAGGTCATGATCTCAGGGCTGTGAGATCGAGCCCCGGGTCCAGCTCTGTGCTGGGTGTGGAGCCTGCTTGAGATTCTCTCGCTTCCTCATCCCCAGCCTCGGCCCCTGTGCTCACTCACTCTCTCTCTCTCTAAAAAAATAAAAATAAAAAAAGAAGAAGAAGAGGAAAGAATCCAGAATTGTGTCATTTTATACGTGTTCTTCTTTTGACCGTCAATCTGGTTCATTTCCTCTTTAGACACTTTTTACATGCTGATAGTCACTTAGAAGGCACGTGTAAGTGTTTCCCCCGAACTGACCTAGTGTCTACACAGCATGTTCCAACCACCTGTCTTGTTTGTAGTATCACAGTTGGTTGGCCCCCAGTGGGTGTTTCAGCTAGGATTCAGAGCTGGTGGTTCCCAGAGCTGCTGATGTCAGAATGTTCTGGAGATGACTTAGCTCGCTGGTATTTTCAGAGCAGATTTCTCTGGTCAGGTACGCACACCTAACAGCGGCATATTCCAAGTCTCTGAGAGGGCCTCCTCAGGACTCCTCAAGGGCTGTGTGTCCCCAGACGACGGTCGACGCTGGGAGTTGATTTGCCCAGTGTAGACCAGATGCCTGGGTGCCATCTCCGGCTTTCTCAGATGGCCAGTGGGCCATGGTTAAATGTCACCATATGCTTGACCATGATCTGGCCCCGTATTTGATATGAGAGAAGTGCTGGTGTGGAGGGTGGGGGTTTGGGATGAGAAGATAAAGTTGCGCCCTAAGAATCAGGCAGCACCTCCTGAGTCCTGCAGAGGGAGATGGCAGGTGGTGCGGTGATGATGAGCAGCTGTCCTCCTCGTGGGTGGTCACACGGGCTCTTTCAGGCGCGTCTAGTAGAAAACTGAACTCCCACCAAAGGCCTCCAGGGTCGATTGGCTCTGGGTATGTCCAGCGCAGGGTTCAGCAGAGGTCCTCAGGATCGGTCACCTGCTCTCACCCAGCCTTGAGGTCCTCCGTGTGAGCTTTGCATGGTGCTCCGGGGAGTTCTGGACTCTCTAGACCCTGGGCTACAAAGCCACAGACCAGCTTCTGAGCCCACAGAGGCCTCCGCCTGGGCGCCAGCTGGGGTGTGTGCTTCTCCCGAACCTCTCCTGTGCCTGTGTGGGGTCGGGGGGCTGGGGAAGGAGCCCGGTGCCCTGACTGGCTTAGCGGTTGGGGGAGAGGTGGTTCCCGGTTCTCCCGCAGCCCCTGCCCGGGCGAGGGCTGGCGAGTGAGCCTCTGTGTCTGGGCGTGGGTGCGGGTTCTGAAACGGTCCACTGTTGTCCAGCCTGAGGGCTGGACAAGTGGCAGCTGCCACCCATACGTCAGTTGGGGCAGGACCAGGCAGCTGCCAGGTTCTCCTTGGTGAAGTCACTACTCTTTTTCTTTCTGCAGATTCCAGGCCCTGGAGGAACCCCACAGTAAGTAGCCCTTCCTTGCTCCGCCTCCCTGCCTTTGTGCCCCTAATATGGGACTCCTTTGCTAACAGAGCCGCTGGTTCTGAGAACTGCTGGTGGGTCATTCCCCTCCCCCAGTGACCGGGGTCGGGCTCCCCCTGCAAGTTCAGGCTGAGTCTGCCCCATGTGGGGTGCTCTGAGTACAGTGGGGCCTCTGCCAGGCCCTGGCCTGGGATGGGGAGCCGCAACCCCTCAGCAGTCTCTGGCTCCTGGCTCATCCTGCCGGGGACTTCCAGAAGGGCCTGGCAGACCGTGGATTTGGTTTTGGCTACTTTGGGTGCCAGGTGGGGTCATTTCCCTTTTCTCCTTCACTCCTCTGTGGTTCTCATTCTCACAGCTGGGATGACAAATTCATGGCACGACTCTTTGAAAACTTAGCCATCACGGGGCGAGGGGTGGGGGGCGGGGGGCGGGGAGGCGCCTGGGTGGCTCAGTGGGTGAAGTGTCCGACTCTTGATTTCAGCTCAGGTCATGATCTCAGGGTCATGAGATCAATCCCCACCTTGGGCTCTGCGCTAAGCGTGGAGCCTGCTCCAGATTCTCTCTCTGTCTCTCCCTCTGTCCCTCCCCTCCTGCTCACGCTCTCTCTCTCTTTCTCAAAAAAAAAAAAAAAAAAAAAGTGAAAACTTAGCCATCCCGTATGGAGCACTTACCGTGAGCCAGGCACCTTGCTTTGTGCTTCTCAGAGTTATCGTGGGTAGTCCTGGCAGCACTCAGAGGTTGGTACTGTCATCCATTTTACAAAAGAAGAAACCCAGGCACCCACAGGAGAGGTGGGTCCACAATTGGAAAGTAGATCAGCGAACCCCGGTTTGACTTGAACCCTGGTTTTTGTGGCTTCAAAGCTGGTACCCTGAACTCTTGCCCTGAGCTGGAAGGATCTCTTCACCTGCCTTTTACAAAGAGCTTGCTGTGTGCAGGTGCTGGGCCAGGGGCTTTGCAAACATTACCCTGAACCTACAGTTACTGGGGAGGGGGCCCAGACACCCGGGCCTCACCGGGCTGGGCCTGGCGCCCTGCTCTGCGCCCAGCCTCCAGGAGCAGCCTCGGGGGCAGGGGGGCGGGGGTAAGAGAAGGGACGTTGCCCTCCGGGGCTGAGGGACGGGGCAGGACAAAGCACTCCATGTGGCTGCGTCTCAGCTGTGTATGGTTCACCCAATTTTTTTTTTTCCATTTAACAATTTTTCCGTGACTTTCTTTTAACTCAAAATATTCACACATGGAGAAAGGTTTCCATCCTTTAATTTTTTAATATAACAGACAGAACCACCATATGAGTTCAGTTTCAAATTATGGGAGGTCACATTCAAATATGCTTGGGTCAGATAAGTGGCTGTTACAATACTGGGAAATTTCATGAAAAAGGCATTTAATGATTTGTGAGGTAATCAAACATTTTTTGGCCATGGGAATCAGTGCTTTCACTGTAACTTGTTTAAAATGCCGTCTTTTGGACTTCAGATGATTATAAAAGGGTAATCAGGGTTGTGTAGATACACTTTGTGAATCACTCGAACTCATTCCATTTTGAAGGCTGGAGGTACATAGTATGCATTAGAACATTTCATGAGACCACTCTAACTTTATACTTACCTATAAAAGTCAAAAACGAAACCACCGTTTTCCTGAAGATATAGCTATTTTTAGAATACATTAGTGTCATCATACCCGATCGCTGCCCCAGGAGGTCAGGGCTGGGGAGTTGGGGTGGGTCTGGAGCGCACACTTACCCACAGGGGCTTGTAAGCATGGATTCCAGAGCGAGGTGCCAGGGCTCAAGTGCTGGCCCACCCACTGACTGGAGCAAGTTACTGGACTTCTCTGTGTCTCAGCTTCCTGGTCTGTAAAATGGGGAGGGTGCTAATATTAGCCACCTTAGAGGGTGGTTGTGAGGATTCACACGTGTCAAGGCCACACACATGGCAAGCACTGTATGGGATTCTGGCTACTGCCGCTATTTGGTACGAGTTAAAAGCAACAGGACTTCTGAAACTCAACACAGGGCATCAGGCTCTCAAAGCCGAGAAGCTGTGGGTGGTGTGCAGCAGCTTTAAGGCAGAGAGGGGGACTCACTGGAGTCTACAGAGGTGAAGAAACAGGGGCTTCCCAGGCCGGTTGGGGCACCCTGCATCAACTCCACACCCTCTGTGCCCACAGCAGCTGAAGAGCATGTTGGTGGTGGAGTCAGGCATGGAAGAGCAGGGGTTAATGAGCCCCCCGGCTGTGGAGACCTCCCCCAATGGGGCAGCCTGCGTAGAGAGCATGCGGCTGCTGGAAGCCAGGCCCCCCGCCGCCGGGAGCCCCTCATCCCCCGGGGACCTCCCTGAGCCCCGGGTGACCTCGGAGCATACCAACAACAGGATCGGTGAGTCTGCCGATTTGGAGGGTCCTGGTGTGGTCAGGGCTGAGGGGGCAGGGGGAGCTGGGCACTGGACCCCGGGCCCCCGACGGGAGCCAGAGACCCTGGGGCAGGAAGGCCCAGCGAGGAAGAGGCGTGGGTTCTCTTACTGGCCCTTGTAAGTAGGAGCAGCTTCTTGTGGGAGAGTTAAAGCTTGTTCCATCTCGGTAGCCCAATTTAAATTTCTGGAAAATCGGTGTAGTTAGTGACTCGGCCCTCACAGGGCCATTGCAAGCATTTGTGAAGTTGTCTGGGTGGGTGGGGGTGAAGGTGGGGGGCAGGGGCTCCCCCCCTTCCCCGGGGCCTGCCAACCTTGAAGTGAGATGTGAATGCTGCCCCCACCCCCAGCAAAGAGCCCCTTGCGGGGACAGGAGGAGACAGGCCAGTGACAGTAAGACCGGCCACTTGTCTGGGCGGAAGTCTTCTCTTGTCACGTGGCCTTCTGAGGACAGTGTCTGCCTCCCCTTTTCACACCCGGGGCAACGGCACGGTGAGGTAGGTGCGGGGAGACGTTCTCTGTCACAGAGCTGCGGGGTGGCAGAGCAGGGACTCGGCCTCAAGCCATGCCCGCGGGGCTCTGAACCCCTCGGCTTGCCCGCCCCGGTGCGGGCCTCTGCAGACGCACTGAGGCCAGCCCTTCCCGAACTGCCGCCGCCCTCGGCCTCAGGCAGACCTTCCGCTTTGGCCTCCCAGGGGTCTCCCTGACTTCTCTCCACCCTTGCACACCCAGAGTGTCTCCACCAAAATTCAAGCCTGTCCCTTCTGCACCCCTGCTTCAACCCTCGCAGGGGTGGGGGCCCCTGTCACTGTCAGGATGAATTCCAGAATTCCTTATTCTGGAGGTCAGACTGGTCACTGGTCACAAGCTGCCTCCTCCCCGCAGACTCACCTGCCTCCTGACCCCTCCAGCCTACTTCGCCCACCCGCTGGCAGTTTCCAGAGTTTCCAGAGCCTTCCCTCCCTTTGGAGCTTCTCTGTGGGAGCTGCTTCCTCACCTGGGACAGCCAATTCCCCCTTTGAATCTAGTCGATTCCCGATGTCCCGAGGCCCCTGCTTATTTGCCTCCTCCTCCAGGAAGTCTTCCTGGCCCTCTCCACTCTCCTGTCTGGACCAAATGCCCCTCTGCTGTGCTCCCTCAGACCCTGGGCCTCCAGACCCAGTATCCTCAGCCCCCAGCAAGTATGACTGTATTTGCGGCCTCCCCGCCTCCTCGGCCCCACCTGGCTGTGAGCTCCCTGAGGGCGGGGCCTCAGTGAGCTCCATGTCTGTCTTCTCTGGAGGGCTAACCATTGCTGGGTTAATACCAGAGAGGCATCTGTAATTGTGCTACACATTTCCATAGCAGGTGTTAGTGGATAAAACTCTTCAGGGTGGGGTCTTTCATATGAAACCGAAACTTCTGGCATCGTAGCTGCAGCAAGTTTTATTTAGAAAGAGTGTTTTTTGGGGCAGTACCACCAAAGGCATCTCCTTTAAATTTCCTAAGAAGTCCTAACTTGAACGTTTGGGTCTGTGCCGAGTGCAGTGCCCGGAACTGCGGGGGCAGGTGGAGGGAGGTAGTGGGCTCCCAGGATGGCTGGGGTGCGGCCTGTTAGCCTCGCTGGGAAGCAGGGTGGTTGGGAGAGAGGGCCTTGGAGGTTCACTCAGGAGCCTTTTGCCCTTCTGACACCATGCCAGGGGGCACCCCCTGCCCCACTCAACCTGTCTAGTACCCCAGGGGGACCAAACTGCAGCCTGAGCTTTATCCCTCTGCCCCTGGCCACCAGGCAGGGGGAGCCCCTTCACCTCCCACCCCACCAAGATAACTTCCCTGGATTCTAGAGCTCTGGGTGGGTAGAAGGTTCAAGCAGCTCCTGAAAGACCCTCCTTTCCCCTCCCAGCTTGTGGCGGGGGCAGGGTGGGGGCAGGGAGGGCAGCCCTGTGATGACGGATAGAGTCGAGCAATCAGGACCCTCAGAGGTGAGGGAGGGATAGCCTGGGCCCTGGCTTTGGCTTCTTCAGACAAACCCACCTCCACTTCTCTCCCACCCTGCTCCCTATGCCTCATCGCTTGCTCTAGCCTTGTCTGGCTGCTCTGTGCCCTGTCTCGCTTCCCAGGGTCCCCCCTCTCTCACCACCTCTGGCTCTCACCTCTTCCTGGGCCCTCTGCTCAGGCTCCCAGGGCAAAGGGCCTGCAGGCCTTGGTGGAGGGTGTGTGGCTGGGGACTGGGGCCCTGCTCTCTCTCTCGGGGTATGTGAGGGGCACCCAAACCACAGCTTGCCACATTTGTAGCGTTCCTCTGGTCCTCGCTGCTATTTTGAACACTTCCCTTTTTCCTGGAGGTATTAAAAACCAAGACAGAAGAACCAGCATTCTGCAATGGGGTGGCGGGTGCAGGACTCCCAAGGATCTTTTGGGTGTTCCTAAATCAGAAGGGTGTAACTGGGTGACCCAGAGAGATAGGGGTCCCCAGCCCCCTGCTCCACCCTAGCTTTCAAGTTCCCTCTCGAGCGTCCTCATTCAGACTCCAGAGAGAGTCCCAGGGCCAAGCTGCTGGGAACTGGGACCCTGCGCCGAGCTCAAGGCCATCAGAAGCTGGGCTGAGTGAAGGCCAGGCTCCTCACTTCCCAGCTTCTTGGGCAGCTTACTTAACTCCCCTGAGTCTCTGAAGCCCCCCCACCCCGCCCCGTCCCCACAGCAGATGGTGGTGAGGACTGCGGGGGTGGGGGGGGGTCCTGCCTCTAAGGGGCTGCGCTGCCAATTCATCCAAGCAACACACAAGCAGCCCTCCTATGCGCGGGTCAGGCAAAGCCAGAAGGCCTCAGGCGGGAGATTGGCCACAAGTAACAAACACTAAAATACAGCCCTGAGCAAACCACAGGCTGGCGTTCGTTATTAAGAGGGCTGGGGTTCTTAGACTGCGATCACCTATCTGGATTTACCTGAACTGAAAACGTCCACAGGCCACAGGACCTTCACTACGACAACCAGGAGCAGCCCGGGCAAGCCGGAACACGTTGGTCACCCCAGGTGTCTGATGTAGGCACACGGACAGGAGGGGAAAGGGCAGCGAGTCGGGTGGGAGTTTCTGCCGAGATTTCGACTAACTGCCTGGCAACTTTGGGCCGGTCATTTAACCTTTCGGGGCTTTAGGTTTTTTTGTATCTGTCCACGCGGACAAGAGTAGACTGTCCACCGTGCGGCAGTGGTGTGAGGACTCAGTCATGTGTGGAAGGTTCTGGACAGTGGCCAGCACGGCTGGCCTCCTCCGCTGCTCACTGGGGCCGCAGTCCCTCCCTTCTCTGCCCCGGACTCGCTTTCTCTCCCAACGCTTTGCTCTCCTGCCCTACCCCGTCCCCACCTAAATGCTGAGAAGATCGTGAGTCTCTCCCGCAAGGGGCCAGTCCTGGCACGCAGTTTCTAGCTGTTTTATGTCCTTGGGGCCTCAGGACACCTGTGAGGTTGATGGGGCCGGCTGTGTGTCAGAGAGATTGCGTTATCTGCCCGAAGCCGCACAGTGGGAGAGACGAGTCGAAGCTTGGACCCTCCTCTGCCGCCTCACCCTGTCCGGCTAGGGCTCCGGGCCCCTCACTTCACCCAATCTTTTGCCTTGCAGAGAAGATCTACATCATGAAGGCTGACACAGTGATTGTGGGGACCGTGAGGACCGAGGTGCCTGAGGGCCGGGGCCTGGCGGGGCCGGCGGGGCCTGAGTTCGAGGAGGATCTGGAAGTGGACCATGCCCCCCACTTCCCAGAGCAGGAGACGGAGCCTCCTCTGGGCAGCTGTGGGGATGTCATGTTCTCAGTAGAAGAGGAAGGAAAGGAGGCCCCCTTGCCCATGACCGTCTCTGAGAAATGAAGCCTGGCCTGGGTTGGGGCTGAGAGGGCAGTGGGGTGCCCCCGGGAGGCCAGGGTGGCCCTGGTGGTACCAGGCTGGTGGCAGAGGCCCCCTGTGGCCTGGACTGAGGTTCCAGCATCCAGGGGTAGGGCAGCCTGGAGCAAGGGGGTTCTGGTGGTCTCTAGTTGCATGCCCCCCCCCACTGCTGCCCCCCAGCCCAGACCCTTGGGGAGCCTGGGCTTGTGCAGGAGAGACAACCTAGGAGCTGGATCTGAATGGCAGTGTTTGTTGGAACAGCGGACAGACAGCAGAGACTGGGCACCTCGTCTCCTGCCAGTGCTGGGAAGATGCCCCTGGGGCCCTGAGCATCACACGGCTGGGGCCAGGGCTCACTTGCAGCCGAGGCATCCCCCTGTGCCTTCTACTCTCACCTGGACCTTACCACCATGCCGGCAGCCGCCAGTTACTGTAATGTGGCCCCCTGTGGGCACTGAGCCAGCGCCTGCCATGGTCGCTCCTGAGTCAAAAGGGATGTCAAGGGGTGCGGCGTCGTCAGCTGGTCCCATCTTGGTAACAGCCAGCGCAAGGCGCTCTGTGCCCTGTGTCCGGGTGAGTGCCCAGCCTGGCCCCCAGCCCTGCCAGGGCTCGAGTGAGACCCTCCTGGTGCTGCCAGCCCTCCCCTATTCTGTAGCCCCCATGGTCTGCTGGAGGCCTGGGGTCACTGACTTGTCTCACAAGGTCCCCACCAGTCCCCTCCGTGGGAGGCATCTTGGGACCCAGAGGTCTGCAGACGCTCAGCAGCTGTAGCGCCCTGCCCCCGCCAGAGACCCTGCCCAGCCAGCTGCCGCCTGGAGAAGGGCCTGCTGAAGGGGAGCCCTGGGCCCTTCCTGGGTCCTTGCCTGCTCTGTGGGCACCTCTGCTCTGTCCCGTGGAGAAGATGCGCCTTCCCCACACCTGCCACGCCCACGGAACCCAGTGGCCTCCGCCCTGCCCTCGTGCTCCAGCCGCTCAGCACCCATGGCTGGGATACGGATGTCAGAAAGCAACACCATTTCGTCCAGACATTCTGCCTTATTCCGGATTCTCAGAAAAGCAAGTAGTCCAGTCTGGACTTGAGGGCTTTTGCATTTCACGCTAAGGAGTAAAGCTGTCCCGACGTGGGTCTGCTGGCTGGCTCTCCGCAGGGCTTTCAGACTCATGTAAACAAACAAGGGGCCTTGGAGAGGGACGTGTGGGCAGATGACAGGGCTGCCCTCAGCTCAGGCCGTTCAGTCTCGGCTGCCTGGAGGCCCCTGGAATTACCCACTGGAGGCCAGGCCCAGGAAAGCTGCTGTTTACCCGCCCGCCTGCTCACTCTCTGGAGGAAGTTGGGGCTAGGTCAGGAATCACAGGGTAGTTTCTGAAACTGCTCAGATGTTTGGGGGAAAGGTGGAGAGGCTAGGACACCGAGAGGGACTCACACCAGAACCTGAAGACGTTGCGTGTGGTGGACAGTATTTGCCCGGATGTCTCGTGCAGGGACAGCGCGGGTACACCGCGCCTGGTACTCCGGCTGGAAGGGGCCCGAGGACGCCCCACCCCGCTGAGCAGGGCACTGACAGTCTTGGCTTGAAGATGTGGACCCCATGTTGGACGAAATGAAGCACTCCCTTGCCCAAAGTCCCTTCACAAAACCTCCGATCCTCTGAAACCTTTGATCCTCAGAAAATTTGTAAGGTCCCTTAAAAATAACCAATCGTAAGTTTCAGGAAACGATCTTTGAGATTGAGTATTTGAGAATGTCTGAGCAGGAATGGCCTGGGCAGTCTCTCTCCCCCCAGAACAGGGGGTCCCTCTTCATCCCCCTACCGAGGTGGCCAGCTTCTATGCTCTGTGCCCTGTGTCCGGGTGAGTGCCCAGCCTGGCCCCCAGCCCTGCCGGGGCTCGAGTGAGACCCTCCTGGTGCTGCCAGCCCTCCCCTATTCTGTAGCCCCCACAGTGGGCCTCGGGTCAACTGACTTGTCTCACAAGGTCCCCACCAGTCCCCTCTGTGGGAGGCATCTTGGGACCCAGAGGTCTGCAGATGCTCTGTGCAGGGAGCCTGCTACCTGCTGGGGCAGCCGTTCCCACTGTGGGAGGTTCTTCTTTAGCCTCAGAGGCAAACCCTTCCTCCACGTAATTCCCACTCCCTGGTCTAAGACTTGTCCTCCGAGGATATTTAAAAGAAAGCCTCTCTCGCCATAAATCTCCCTTTGGGTATTTGTAGAAAGAGATCCCGAGCCTCCCCGTGGCCCTCCCTCTGGACTGGGCCGAGCTGCCCCGCAGCTTGGGAAAAGGGAGTTCCAAAGTAGCAGCATGAATGCCCAGCCTTGGGGGCAAGGAGAGGACTGAGGGGTAAATGGAAGCCTTGGACTTGGGGCCTGAGCTGGAAAGGGCCCAGCCTGCAGCCCTGCTCACAACTCAGGGCCAGTGGGGGGCCTGCTCCCCACCACGGGCAGCCGGCCCGGAGCTCCCCACTTGACTGTGGCGCCCCTGTGGGGTGGACGGAAGAGACAGAGGGCTGTGGTCAGACCTCACCCACCCCATCCCCAGGACCGCAGCTCACGCCCAGACCTCACAATCAAACCCAGCCATTTACCCAGTGTTTCCCCGCCACGTGGTTGGTCCAAGAGCCGGGGCAAATTTCCCTGCCCTGACCAGTGATCAGGGACCACTTCTTAACCTCTGTCCGTTCTGACGTCCAGGTGGGCAGAGGACTCAGGGTAGCAGATGGCAGGCCGTAAGGGAGCCTCCCGCGCACGAGTGACATCCCTCTTCCTGAACACTTGTATTCAGGGAGTGATGGTAAGTGATGTGTCCTAAGGAAGCTAGGCAGGCTGGTAGGTTGTAAGCTGTTTTCGGTTTGTAGAATCTCTCAGGCCAGGGCCATTCCCTGAAATGGAACAAGAGGCTGAACCTCCAGAGCCTCTGTGTCCTCTCACCGCTCCCCAGGGCTGAGACCTTGAAGAGCAGTCACCAGGGACTGGCTTGTTGGGCTAAACAGAAATGAAAATCTGTGCAGGGACAAGGCAGCTCTCTGGCTGCAGGTTCTTGGGTGCCTTCTCTCCCACCCACACTCTCGACTCTGTCCTCTAAGAGGTAACAGTGGGGCAGGTATAGGGTGGGAGGGCCAGGGCCTGAGACGGAGATGAACTCAGGGCAGAAGGCTTGAGCAGAGGTCGAAATGAGAACATTAAAAGTTTCGAGGTCGGCTCTGTGGGCCTCATGAGGAGCTGGCAGAGCCCACCTTGGGCTCCTACACCCCCCTGCCCCTCCGCACGTCCTTCACCCGGGCCCGGCCGCCGTGCTGGGCGCACACCCTGGGGCCATGCCCAGGGACTTGCTGTGAGCAAGGTGCAGGCAGAGAGGCCTGCCCACCACTCTCTGGAGCATAGACAGAACAGCAATGAGCAGGTGGGGATGGCTTCTGAGGTCAGACTTGGGTTCGAATCCCGGCTCTACCCCTTACCAGCTGGGCGATCTTGGTTATGGGAGGCCCAGGGGGTAACACGGGTCCGGCTGTTTCCTGGTCTTCGAGGTGAGGGTATCACCCCTATCCGGTAGGGTCGTGGGGTTCTGTTAGAGGCCACCTGGTCTGTGGCTCGTGCTTGCTGCTGGCCACCTGTGTCCTGGGTGCAGCATGGCTGCCACCTGCCATGAGCGAGTCCTTCCTAGGCTGGCAGAATTCAGCTCCAGGTAACCTTTGAAAGCGTGTTGGAATTGGTGGTTGGTTCCAGTAAGCCTGTGGTGGCTCGGGTAAGGTTCACCAGGGCTTTCAGGATCTCCTGGGACCTGGCCTCCCTTGCCACCAGGTTGCAGTGGGAAACCCCACAGTGAGTAGACCCCTTCTTGCTCTGTGGGGTGCCCTAGAGAACCCCTCAAGGCAAAGTCCTAGGACTGGGCTGCTTGTTAGATGTCTGAAACTTAGGTGTTTGCGATGTGCTGCGGGTCCCTCCGCGGGGGACTTCCTGCTCGTGGTTCTAGTGCATTCCGGTGCATTGCTGCCTAAGATTTTTCTTCAGTGGCCTCCCTCGCCCCCTTCTTCCCTGTCTCCCATCCTTTTAAAAACACCTAAGATGAGCCAGGCTCAAGTCTAGCTGCAGAGGATATACTGCACTCAGACAGACTTGCTGGCGTGGGTTCTGTGTCTGGTGGATGGAGACTGATGACAGTACCTAACTGATCAGTGAACAAGGTGATTCCAGAATTCATCATGCTGTGTGCTATGAGAAGCCCCCATTAGGTGTCTGTGGCAGAGTGTCTGTAGGGGAGGACCAGCTCCAGCCAGGTGGCTGGGGAAGGCTTCTCAGCGGAGGTGTCCCCTGAGCTCAACCTGAGTGACATGACACCCCGGGGGGGGGGGCGGGAAGGGGCTGGGGACCTGGGGGCAGAAGATTCTGGGAAGTTAGAGGAACAGCAGGTGCAAAGGCCCTGAGGTGGGAATACTTCTGGCCTTGAGATTCAGGAAGCACTGCCCAGCGGTAGATGCGGGGCAGAGAGAAAAAGGAGGTGAGCGGGGAAGCCATCCGGCCGGATCACTTAGATTTTATCGTGAAAACATCGGTCCACGGTTATGTCCTTTTTCTCTATTAGAACAATAAACATCCTGGTATTATCTTAGGACTAGGCATCAAAGACCCAAGCAGAGGCACCAAAGGTTGTATTAACCTATTTCTGAGGGAAGTCTAGGAAAGAGGCAGCGGTGGCTGGGCGCCAGGAGGCAGTTGGCCAAGCTTTCTCAGAAAAGGCAGAGAGTTCAGACTGCATTCCTGGCTGATGGCAGTGCAGGGTCCATGGCTGACGTCCTGCGGGGGGCTGGGAGCCGGGGAGTCTAGGTTCCCCTTTCTTTGGGTGTTTTCCAGGAGAGTAAAAACCACACCAAAAATTCCTGGGGGAGGCTAGAGCCTTTTTTGTGTTTGGGTGCGGGGGTGTGGGGCGTCTTCGGACCCGGGCCTGCAAGCGCCCGCATCATTCATAAGCCCGACTTCTCCTGCCCAGGAAGGGCGTGGTTCCATCAGGGTTCACTTCCCGCTCCAGCAGTTCCAGTCACATAGCCCCCAGCTTTGGTTTCCTAGATCTGCAACACAGACGTAATAACCCCCTTACGAGATGGTGGTGAGGCGCCCGGGGTAACCTGGGTCAAGTGCTTGGCCTGGCTCTAGGCACTTTTCCTGTTCGGTACGGGGTGGCCCATGTAGGCATTTCAGGGAGCTTTTGAGTTGGCTCCCGCCTTTCTGCATTCTTTCTGTATTCAGGCTTCATTAATAATAGCTGAAAGGCTGAGTATCAGCATTCCGTTTAACGGACTAGGGCTCAGAGAGGCGCTCCGACTGACCCACTGTCACACAGCCAGGAAGGCGCCCTCCCATCCACGTGGCTGGGCTGCCCCTGTGGTTGGGGCCACGTTTATATCAAGGTTATCATCGGGCCCTGTGCCCTCCGGACAAGCAGAGATGGTTGCAGGAGGCTGGGTAACCTGCCCGAGGTCAAGCGGCAGGCCAGGTGTGGCTTTCTGAGTCCGCCTGGCAGGGCAGGAAGGACACGGAGCTAGCCCAGGCAGAGCCCCTGTCCTCGGAGCTACGCTCCCTGAAGGTGGCCTGATTCAGGGGAGACTCGGGGCTGGGAGTACAGGCAGTGCAGGGGGCCTCCTGATGATGGCATCTCCTTGTGCGTTCTCAGCCACTGCTCGTACCCCACTCTGCCCCACGCCCCCGCGGAGCCCTGGAAGGAAGACGAGTCAGGAGCAAACCTCCCCAGATCACAGATGGGAAAACTGAGCTCCATGGAGGCTAAAGGGGTTTGGGCTAAGGTCCCAGCTCGGTGCTGCCTGGTGGAGGCACGGCCGGGGGGAAATCACCGTTCAGTCCAGGTGAAGGGTAAAGATGACTTGCTGATTTTCATTTTTCCCTTTATTTACTGTTTTTTTTTAATTTGGCGTTAAAACACAAGTAACTGCGGTGAGTTGGGTTCTTACTGATAAGGCAGCTTTGCAGGCGTCGAGGGGGTCCCATGTCAGATGAGAACATCACACGAGCAGTCTGCAGCCTCACGAGCACATGGCTTGTTCGGTCCAACAGGGCTCCTGCTGTGGAGGGCCAGTGCTGGGTTTAATGCTCTGCTGTGCTGTCCGAAAAACTGAACAGGGGCATTTTTGAACAAGGGGCCTTGTGTTTTCCTTTTTCCCTGGGTCTCCCAAATTAGGGGGCTGCTCTGCATCAGGGGCAGCAGCATTGTCTGTCCGGATCATACTCGATGCAGAGGCACTTTCCATACTTGGCTGCTTACGCTCACAGTGACCATGATTCCAGATGAGCTCGCTCAGCCCCATTGTTCGATAACGTCGAATGGCTACTAATTGACCTCAGCCGTCCCGGTTATCTCTTGCTACGTCATAAACCACCTCAAAACTTAGCGGCTTGCAACAACATCCGTCACTGATTTTGCTCACAGATCTGCAGTTTGGCTGGGGCTTGGCGGGAAAGCTCACCTCTGTTCACAGCTGGCCCGGGGGATCGCACTTCTGACATAGCCGGCCAGTTGGTGCACACACGAGCACCTTAGCCTCTCTCAGGGAGGCTAAGGCTTCCTCACAGCATGGCGGCTGCGTTCTTAGAACAAACAACCCCAGTGTAGGAGATGGGACGTGCCAGGTTCTTAAGATCGGGGCCCAGCACTGGGCCCAGCATCACTC